CACAGGGGGATGGGATCCTACTGCCTGAAGCTGTCGCAATTCATCCCGAACGATACTTAGAATGAAGTCTGCGAAGGCCTGTCTCTCGCTGTCAGAGCCGATAGAGCATGCGGTGGTTGGGATCTGGCGTTTGTATTGTGACGACTGCTGCTGCAGAGTACGTTCCATCGTGGTTGCCTCATTGATGAACTGGGCGACTGTCGTCTGTGGATTGCGCACAATCCCAGCGAAAAGCTGTTCTTTTACTCCACGCATCAAATGCCGCACCTTCTTTTCCTCCGGCATAGCAGGGTCCGCGCGCTTGAAGAGCCGAAGCATGTCCTCGACAAACATGGATACTCGTTCATTCGGCCGCTGGTTTCTGCAGGATATGGCTTGTTCAGCACTCTCCTTCCTCTCGGTGTTGCAATAGATGTCACAGAGCTGTCGGCTAAACTCCTGCCAGGTTGCAAAGGAGCCCTCGTGGTTCTCGTACCACGTCTTCGCAGAATCCTCCAAGTAGAAGTAAACTCGGCGTAGCTTGCGAACATCGTCCCATTCGTTGATACTGGCAACCCGATCAAAGTGGTCGAGCCAGTCATCAACATCCTCGAAGATGTCTCCATGGAACGGCTTTGGTGTCTGTGGCGCATGAAAAACATGCGCGAGAAGAGACCCATGGGCATCGCTGGTTTGGACCGCCTGGCCTGTCATTGGAGTTACCATCTTTCTGGGTGTCGATGCCAAGGGACCAAATTCAGGGGGTAACCCACGCAGGCGGCGGCTGCTTCTTGCTCTGGGAGATGTAGCTGTCTCCAAGATGGCCGACACAGCCAAAGTACACGTACCCAGCGTCTCCACCAGTAATGTCACGAACAAAACAAGACCTACAGCCAGGAGTTCACCTGAACCAGAGCAACGAAAAATGTTCTCTTGTTCTTCGCAGCCCAAAACGAGTATGAGCCACAGTGGCTCGTTCATTAATGGTGGCAATATGTAACAATTTCTTCCCTTAAATGGCTGGTCAAGTAAGCTGTTCTGTGCGCTTAACTATTTATTGCACAGTGGTTGACAAACGTGGGAACCCGTAGTTACATGATGTAGGACAGCCTATGTGGTGTCGCGTCCTCTCAATTGCTAAAAAATTTTGAATGAACTTTAGTATATTTATTCCTGAATTATTTTTTATTTGTGTATAATAATTATGTAGTATAAGTGCTCTCTTGGCCAAAATATGACCACAAACGCTGAAGGCGAAGTCAGCGAACAGGTGCTGATTAGGGCCACGCTACTCCTAGGTTACAGCCCTAGCGGCAGAAGCTATGAACTAGAACGTGGGCGCTAGAGAGGCGCTCTCTGGGCAGGTCAGGTGTAGAGTAAGCCATGGTTCCGACTAGGGCCACGCTACTCCTAGGTTACAGCCCTAGCGGCAGAAGCTATGAACTAGAACGTGGGCGCTAGAGAGGCGCTCTCTGGGCAGGTCAGGTGTAGAGTAAGCCATGGTTCCGAGCAATCCTTGGCAGTGAAGGGGAGAGAGGGGGGGGGGGGACGAGCTTGACATTGGGGTCTGCTGCCGATGCGTAAAATGCCCATCCACAGTTCCGAGGAGCTAGCGAGTGATGTACTTCGTTGATTGCGAAGAAGCACATAGCCACAAGTGCTCTAGTGTGGCGTTCTTGCCCACAAATTTCATTTAGTTGTCAGCAGAGTTAGCCCCAAAGACAACACTGATGACGCGCTGCGCTCAAAGACCGCATGCCCACTCGTAGTAACCTGATCGTGAATCCGCTCACAGCTTCATTGCTTGCAAAGAAGCACGTTGCCACGAGTGCGCTAGAGTGTCGTTCTTGCCTGCAGTCTCGCCGTCAGCGAAGTATTGGCCTAAAGAGGACTCCGATGAGGCGCCGTGCTCGTAAAAGTGGGCGCGCTGAGACCAAACGCCCACTTTAATAATCTGATCGTGCATCCACTTACAGATCCTAACTAAAGGGCACATATCGTAAGTGATCATCGAGCCGTAAACATGTCACGGAGTAGCGATTTTCGACAGCCATGTCCTCGCGAGGCACAAGCAGCACATGATCTCCCGGAGCGAGCATCGGGCCAATGGCGAAGCGAGCTGGGGCAACATGGCGGCCACAGCCAATCAGGGGCCTCGAAACAATCTTCAAATATTTGCTTTTTCCGCGCTTGTTTTTAAAGGAAGGAGCCAGCTGAGGCAGGAAATTTTAACACAGAGAAACGCTCTTTTCGCTAAGCCCAAGAAGCAGCTCCCGACCGTGCCCTCCCAAAGCTATAATTTTTTAAAAATCGATGTTTTCTCGCCATTTACAGAAAAACTTTCGCTAACTAAGAGGGTGAAACAAATTTTTTGAAGCACTTCTGCACGGTTTTCAGCGTAGACGTTTTGGAATCAGATAGAAAAAGGGCTCCAGAAACTGAAAACTTGATTTAAAAAAAATCAATTTTTTTTCAATTTCTCGCGATACCAAAGTCGCGTACCCCCTTAAAAAAGAAGCAAACATTAACGCAGTGATGGGCACTTTGTTAGTATTGTTGTGGTTCAACTTTAGAGGCAGATTCCCGACCATACCATAACATAGTTAAATACTTCTGGTAAGAGCTGCTTATAATTATGAAAACCTTTTGCTATTTTAACAGTCACAAAACATTCACATATTGAACTACAGAGAGTAACAGACCGAAAGTTTTGCGCAGTTGTCACCGTCCCACATGAAAGCTTTTTCTGCCAACGTATTTCATCATGGTGGTGATTACGTTGCCTCCAACAGCGACAGCTGTTTGTAAATGAGCTTTGGTTTAAAGAAACACTGAAATCAAATTTCAAAATCTAGATGAGCCCATCATTCAATCGCATAGTATGCATAGGTCTTCTCGTCCAAATTTGAAGGGCATCCGTCGCGTGGAAGTTATTTTAATTCGATGTCAAACAGGGTGGAAAAGCTAAGGAGAAAAAACGGAAAATAGACAGCCCTGCGACATAGACACTAGTGCTACGTGTTCGGTGTGATACATTCCACAAATACCATCCTGAGTGACAATACGCTAGTAATAATGACATCGACAATATGAGTGTGTTTGAAGCCGACTCCCGGCCATGTTCTCACTAATGGCTCTCCTTGCTGTGTTAAAGCGTGCGAGCGATTCATCGCATCACATCGACTAATTTGACGTGTGCTTCACAGCGTGTGTACGATCATTCAGAGTGACAATACATGCCAGAATGTCGGGGAACTGCTGCGCAGCGAGAATCTGCACGTCGAGGCAGGGAAAAAGCGGAAATTGCTTGGCGTTTCATGCCTTTCCAAGCCACGAACCTCAACGCAGCCAGTTGGTTAACTTCGTACGCGCCAATGGACAAAGGGACTAGGCACATGTGAAGAACAGCCGCATTTGCTCGCTCCACTTTGCGCAGAGCTGCTGCAGGGTAAATGCTGTGTTGGCAAACATGTTGGGTTTTACTGGCAGTACAAGGCCCTTCTCAAGGCCGGGGCTAAAGGGAGAGGGGAAGAACAAGTAGGCGCTACTTAACCTAGTTGGCGGAAAATGTATGGAGGGGCTTTAGTCTACATCATCAGAGACCCAGCTGGACTGACTGCACGTGCGCTCCTAGCAGATGATAATGCCAGTGTGCGTGACGTCATCATTTTTTGTGGAAGCAGCATCAGCTGTGCAGTGGCCTCGACGTGGCCGCGAGGTAGCGCTGACAGCCCTACAATTTGGTGAGCTTTCAACCCATTTTGAACCACAGTCATTGTGGATATATTAATCGATATTACAGATATTCATTCATACTTCAGATGTGTTTTAGGTCGCGAATTGCAACTAGGGGGTTGATAGTTACCCGTTGATGCAAAAATCTTGACATGAGTGAATTTGATGTCAGTGCTCCTTTATGACCAGATTGTAATGCACAGACATAGATTTCTTTTTGCAAACAATTACTCACATTAGACACGGCCCTTAACTGTTTAAAATAACATAGGCGTAGTATGCTGCTTGCCACCCAGTGTTGTCTAACATGAGAGCAGGAAAAAGCAAAACAGTAAGTGGGACGCTATTGAACAGGAGTTACTTTTGCTGTTTTACTGAAGAGAGAAACATGTTTACTTTCTATTCATGGAACACCAAATGAAGAATACGAATATTACTGAAGATATTTTCATGATCATGGAATCAGCCAGACTGTATCCTTCCATTAACCTACATTGTCAGCTCCTTCATATTAGCTTGCCAAAAGGAGAATGAGCGATGTCTAGCCATCTTTGAAATTAAATTGTTTGTTCCTTGCTGCATACAGTGCTATATAATTTTGTTCACACATTTACAGAAGCATTGACAATGGCTCAGCAGCATTTTCTGACCACTATGTTCAAAAGTGTTACAGGACCCATCTAAGCTTTGTAGCTTTACTACAAAGCAGTCCAGGTTGCAGCATGAGCAATCAGCACACCCATGGAGGTGCCTTAGATGCCGCTACATATGTTTGAGCCATTTAGAGTGTTAGATAGACGAGGTTTCTTTAAGCTGTACCGAAAGCCTGGCAAGGCTTTGTGAGAAGTGGAAAGAAAGACCAGGCGAGACATGGAGAGACATGGAGAGATGTAAACAGGAGTCGGTGAACAGGGAATGCGGCAGGAGCACCCATTTAAGGATATTTTGTTACTTCCAGCCTCCTTCCTCCCCTAAACTTCTGTCTTGCACGGTGAGATTTGGCAAGAACCTATTGGACCTCGCTACATACTGTATAGGTGCTTTCAGGGAGGGCTTATTTTCGCGCGCAAAATTCCAAAAGTGCACACCCACGCATGCCTTGTTTTACCTATATGTGATGGCAGATGTCGACCTGCCTTACAGATTCCGTCATATGGGGGTCCAAAATAAGGCATGTGCGGATGAAAACTGTCACAATTTTTAGAGTCACCCGTTGTAGATCTCAAGTTGCACCGCTACTAAGCCGACAGGCGCAGGAAACCCTGCTGGCTGTACGTCCTATTTACCTTGCGCTGAAGGTCAATGTTGCTGATGTTTCCCGCTTCCTTGCGAAGCTCGGCCATCTTTTCGGGGGCCAGATTCAAGTAGGACTGCAGGTACCGTGGCATCAGGCAGAGCCTCAGTACAGCCACGGCCAGCACTAGCAGGATGCGGCTTGTCTCAAATGCCTCGCTGCTCATTCTGCGTCAATGAAGTCTTCAATAAGGCTAGAGCTGTGCCAGCAGAACACAATCTTGGTGCCATTGCTTCTTTATTGGAGCTTACCTGTGAAGTGTTTGTTGTGAACTCAGCACAGACGTACAGTTTCACGAATGTGATTTCGATATGTCACATCTGTGATATGAATCTCTAGCCATACCTACTTCAACGTATGAAGCAGTACCATTACAAGTTTGCTAACACAATGCAAAATTACATAATTTCAAATGCATGGTTACTGCTGATATTGCTAATGACTGCAGAACACTTCCTATCTTGCCCCAGAAAAGACTCTTATCATCACCGATGATCTAACGACAGACTATGCACACTAATATGCGAATAGATCTATGTCATTTTCTTTTTGTCCATAATTATAATATTCAGGATGTCTTTACACGAACAGCAACATAGTTCTACAAATCAATGTCTAGCGCAATCAATGTCTAGCACAATCAATGTCTAGCACTGAATTAACTAAATTTCAAAAACTTGGAAATGAAGATGTCGTTAGTATTAATGCAAGCCACTTACAAATTGCCTTTCATGCCAGGGAAAGACCTCTCGGTGAAATATTCCCGGGCAAGAGGCTTCACCCACAGCAGCACCACAAAGAGGGGTGAAACGAAGCTCATGTGAAGTAACAGCCTACAATCAGAATAAAGAAAACACAAAAATTGGCATAATTGGCAACATTTTCTTGGGCTACCAACTTGTAGAGATTACGCACATAAGCCAAGACTAATTTCCTTTGTGCACTGGCATAATCAAGATTCCTTAGGAATCCATAAGGGTGAACAGAAAACAACCTCACCAGAACGTTCAAGAGAGAAGCACGACTGCACGAATTCCCCACTAGTAGCCACAATTCCCATGGCAGCAGAACAAGTGAAATACCAGAGTTTTCCCTAGTGACTTTTGCACAAAACATTACATCATGTCAAGCTCAATGTTGCACACTGTTAGTGAGACACGACTCGAATTGCAGTGCGAGTAGTTCAGAGTGAAGTTGTTCCCAAGAAACAATGACCTAATGGTTGTTGTTCACCTAGCAGTACAGGACAGAGGGACGTAGCAAACACACTACTTGGTTCTTTGCTGCTGTTTAAAAAAGAAAGGAACTAAAGAGAAAGAGAAATCTTTGCAATTGGCTCCAGTGAAGCCACACTTACATGGTGCAAGCTGGAAAAAAAGACAGGTAGTATATTTTAAATAATGTCTGCTTATCAAATATATCAATGCAAGCTGCTAATCAAGTATAATAAAAATTATAGTTCTTGTTTTGGCCCTTTCAAAGTGAAATAAACTATCTTGTCCATTTTGGTATTCATATCAATTAATGTTTATTCCTCTTTCTCACTCTTTAGTGTAGCACGTCATTCAAGATGTTTACAGCGATACTCTTTGAGGCCAGATATGCATATACAAATACGTGGCAAAGGGGAAGAGATAAAGATACTCTCAATCACAGTGTGTTGTGCAGAGGCTAAATAGCCTTTATTACGTGTACCGCGCTTATGCACTTTGCCACAGAGCTTTCCCTGAGCATGCTCATGTTGCCAGATTGCCAAGCTTACCTGAGAAAATGCTGTCCCTCGCAGTACTTAAAGGCATCCCAATGCATCCGGGCATAACGAAGACCAGGGAAGGTGAAGAAAGCCCCCACTAGGCCACACCACACAGCCAGAAAGAACTTGAACATTAGCTGGGATGTGGGACCACTGGGAAGCAGGAGCAAACACCTCTTTAGAGCATGAACTACGGAGACCCGTAGGCTACAACAGTATCTTCCCTTGCATGCACTCATAGTGGACGCAAGTAACTTTCTCAAAATGGTTGTCCCGATTTCGCAACAGACTGGCTCCATCACTGACAATAGGTTGACTAGTGATAAAGAAATGAATTTTGAAATGAACTGCCACTGTCCTGCTGTCACCTTCCAGCATGTAAGAAACAGTCCAAAGCAGGGCATAAAACCAAACCTCAATTCAGTATAAATGCGACACCAACGTTGAAACTTTGGCTGGAACCAGTCCCCAAACACAAAATAATGTTCAGGGAATGCAGACTGAAAAGAACTGACCTTCAACTGCAAAAGCTACTCAATTAAAATTGAGTGAAGGCTAACTCACCTTGAACTCAAACCTTGCGTTTGAAGAAACTGGTGTGAGCTCTCGTTGAAACTTCTATATGCTGTAGAGGGAGAAAAAAAGAAGCAAACAACATTAGATTCTGTAGTTGGCCTGAAGATTGCTTATTTGTCCAATTAAATGGGCAACAAAAGAGTGCAGAAACAACACGGCAAAGAATAGCTGGTATGTATTGAACAAAACCTTCTGCTTCATGGCTGGTTGTGCTGTATTAGAGCACATTTATATTTTTGGAATGTATAACCTCTTTAACATGTTTTTCGCTTATTGAATATGACAACATGGAAATTAAAGAGGCTGGGAAAGAATTGCAATAGTATATTGGATTTGACACTACAGCTGGTCCTGAAATGCCGGATCTGGAGATAGTAATATTGATCACACGAGTTGATAACTACATGGAAAATGTCCCCCACAAAATGATGAATCATTATCATCTGCCTTTCATTTATTAAAAAGATGCATATCACATTAAATCACTTTCCACATGTTGACACAGATGATGAAAACATTCAAATCAAATTAAAACAGCGGAGCACGAAAACCAGCTGAGTGGATATAGTGAGCAAGAGTCACCACTGGCTGTATTACCGCGACTTCAATCTTCAAGGCAGGCCTCAATAAATCAAGAAATCTCACTTATATTCCTGAAGCAGCAATGAATAATTAATCCTCAATAATTAAGAAGATAACGGAGCATCCTTCATCCCTAGCTGAACTGGCACCATCGAGAAACATTACAGTTACACCATTGCCACATGACCATGTTTGCAGACATTCTGTAGCTAAGGTGCTGCTCATAAAAAAAAAAAAAAAGTTTACCACACACATCTGATCTAGCAAGCAACGTGTGAAACAGGTTCGTAGAATCACTCGTAATAAGATAAAACAGCTAGGGCACTCTGGTACTTGGAACTACAGTATTTGCACGATTCCAATCAGCACTTTTCGTTAAATGTAGCCCTCCAAATTGTGTACACGTTCCAATCATGCTTAAAAGCAAATTTAGGATGCTTTTTCTTATTGGGATATGGCTAATAATGTGTAAAATTACCTGCACTGTGCAATCACAGGCACACTTGAATTGCACAAATAGTTTTTTTCTTTCTCCACACATATGGCCTTACCTTACTGCAAAGAAGTAAGATGTCTGATATGTCACAAGAGTGCTCTTTTTTTGCTCACATACAGAATGTGACACATACAACAAGTGCTGCCGCCACATACTTACAAATAACTACCAGGAAACTAGAACATAAAAAAATGCGACAGTGCAGTTCACTTCTTTTTCTTCTTAACAAACAGAAAATAGTCTACATTTAATAAACTCAAGTTATATTTCACAACAGTCTTGTGAGTTTCTGCAACTGTTCCACAATGCAAAGGCTGTATTGAGCTTAGAAAACAAGCAAGAAGAAAAAGCATAAGACAGAGAGAGCAATAGTTACAAACCATCACGGAGACCAAACTCTAGAAAGTCTTCGTCAGCAATCAGTGCCACCATGGCGAGGACAAAAAAGGTGAACCCCGAGACGAGGCAGAGCGAGCGTTCGCCGACGGGCTCTTCGCCACGGAAATACAGGGCTGTCAGCGAGAACAGCACTTTGCTGAAGTAGAACCACACGTCAAGGATGCTACAGTCACAGCAACGAGGGTCTGTTTGAGGGGTCCTGAGCCACTTTTCCAAGTAATCACGGAATGACTTCAGTATTAAAGTTAACCAAAGTGCTGACAATAACCACAATACTGACAGTGCCTGCACTGGCCGCGCGCGTCCTTCTGAAGCTTTGAGCATGCTGATATTGGCCTTCGTTCGCTGGTTTCAGTACTAAAGTTCCTTCAACCAGCCACGATGAGGAAAAGTGTTTGAAACATCTGAATTTTGGCCCAATGGACGTTTTGGAATTTGACAGGAATTTCACGAATTCGTGTTCGCCAGTTTCACATCCTTGAGATTCTATCATACATTTAGATAAATGCCTCCTAAATTCATTTACAATAAATGCAATGGGTTTGCAGAAAGCATGGATAGAATTGGGCTTCATTTTTGTCAATGCAGCCAGATCACGCACAGAAATTTCGATTTCCGGGAGATATTCATGACAACCGTCGAAACGTAAGAACTGGTCGAAATCCGGTAGTCTCCCAAAAAATCCAGGGACTTGGCAGGTACGGTACAGTATTTGAAATGTCTAACGGAAGAGACCACGTCTGTGCAAAGGTGTCATGGCTATCCACATTCTTGGGTTAAAGTTGAGTGTAGAATGACATCCTAGCATAAGGCATTCAATGTCCATAGTGAACACAAAGGCTATGAAAAAAAAACATGTGGTGCTATAGACTAATTTCAGCATTTTCGTGTTTTTTCGGTGCACACTGCAACGTAGGTACATAGATGCTCGTATTCGCCTCATACAAACATGGCTACTATGGCCTATGAATCAACCCAGTTGTAGAATGAATAAACACAGAATGCTGCAATCACTGAGCCATTTCTGTTTCTGGCAAGATGTGTTTAAAAGAGAGACTCACAAGAAGCAATCATGGCAGATGTCAAGAGCTAAGTCGCCAGCCAGCTCAGACCACTATCAACCCCACCCTAGAATTTTTCTCAGCACTAATGTGATTCGCAAGCTCTTAGGGTGGCCACATGCACATTTATGTATACACTTCAATGTTTGCAAGTTATGGCTAGAGAAGACTGTAGAAAAGTTACAGACATTTAACTTTGGGTGGATTCAGCCCCCTCAGTGCTCAATTTGAATTCAATTAATGAGCAGCATGTTGTGCATTGTTAGACATGCTTCTTCTCCGAAGGTGCTGGCACATAGTTCGCAAAACATTTGATGCACCGCTACCGACAACATTGACTATAGAACAAGACCATAATTTCTCATAAGACCTGCTGCTGTAACTTCTCAAACTGAGCTTATTTTAAGCAAGAATGCAATACATATGCAAATGCATAACAAGTTCAATGTGTAGATAACTCTGTTATTAGCATGGTTTCCCACGATACGTACAGTAGTCACAGATAGAAATGCAAAAATTCTTGGCTAGTAACTCACATACTCTTATTTTTAGCATCTACAGTTAGTGTCATATCAGCACAATTTTGACTCAAACACTTACATCAGAACAGACATTACCTTTAGCAGAAAGATTAGCACCCATCTGATTCAGTTATCACGAGCGATTGCTCATAGCGGTCATTCTGCTAAATAAAAGAATGTCGCATTTCACTCCACGTGTACTGTACATAGAAACATCCCTGCCACACTATCTTTCTCAGAAGAAAGTGTCTAGCACCTCGAAATAGTTTATCAATAACGGTTCTTCATAACTCACATCCAGAGGAAGTCAATGTACAACACAAATCTTGAGAACACAGCAAGGATACACGGCAAAGCCGAGCACCAACAGGCACCACACCAGGCTGAGGTTGATCTCGTCACGGCCAGGAAAGTAGTAGCGGTAGGCCTCCTGTGACAGCATAGACTAAGACGGCAGTGCAGGGCGAAATCCATTAGCCACTGATAGTCAGTGTAGAAGCGGAGCTGCAGTGCCTCATCAGCCGTGATGGGGGCCGCTTGCAGCACCACGGGTACACTTTTAGGCACCAGAAACTCCTCGTAGTCCTTGCCATCATCCATGGAGCCATTGCGGTTTCTGCGACATACGGCAGCAGAGCAGGCACAATGTCGGTGACCTTCAGAATAGCTTTCATGACACTTGCAACAACGATTTCAAGAGTCCCCACAATCAAAACCTAGTATTTGCACTACAAAAAAAAGGTCTCAAACACATGGCCACGGCTGGCTCGCACACGATAGTCTTTATCCCCCTTTTCTTCACGATTTTGTGACTGTTTGTCACATTACTAAATGGCATTTGCATTACTTTCTAGCTTTTTTCTCGTAAGCTACATCAACATGACTGATCTTAGGTTTTTTTTTTGTATATAAGGCATCCTATGCGGTCAGCTTGTGTAGCAAAATAGTGGTGGAACAAAACCCCTATAACTTATAACTAGTGTCCAGATTTTCGTCATTGTGGATGTCAACAATGATATAGTTTTCTATCTTGACGACAAATGCCCTACGGAAGTGATAGTCATAGTAGACTTTCTTTTCAAATGGCAACATTAGCTGACAGTTTGTTCACGCCCTCCCATGCAAGAAAACACAAAGTGCTATGTAGAGCACTGAATGCCCCCACTAGGTAGATGGTTTGCACATGGGCTAAATGTGGCATGTTGAACAAAGTACTTTAATGGGCTGCTTACACTTGTCACAATGTTACGTGAAGGCTGACTCGTCATCTCTAAATATACATACCGTTAAACTTGGCTATGAGGAACATGATATTATAAACTTATTGGTTATAACAAGATAATTATAGAACATTAACACTGACAGCAACATGTAACGAGGACAGACTTATAAAATATATAGGATATCATTTACTTCAGTGTCAGAAACGAGTTTCTTACACAGATAGTGGAATGCACTCATTAGCATAGCGCTGCTCTATCAATTTCTTCGTGACACCGAATGTAGATGTGGTCACAAACAGCAAAACTGAAAACCGTAACCTCAAACACGCTTGAGGTGGCACGAAGCCAAACCACAAAAAATTGCCGATTCTCTTTTTGCACTTTCAGACTAAACAAGCTAACATTCAAATGTGAAGCAGGTAACACTGCTCTACTCAGTAATAAAATAAAGAATACTTTAAAATTACGAGAATGCACCCCCCCCCCCTCCCCATCTCTCAAATCTGGTGGTATTATCCTTCTCCATAGCCGCAGGTCGCAGGATCGAATCCCGGCTGCAGCGGCTGCGTTTTCGATGGAGGCGAAAGTGATACAGGCGTGTGTGCTTAGATTTAGGTGCACGATAAAAAACCCGGGGTGGTTCTTTCATTTCCGGAGCCCTCCATTACAGTGTTGCTCATAATCATATGGTGGTTTTGGGTCGTAAGACCCCAATAATTAAGATATTATTCTTCTTCTCCGTAGGGGGTGGGAGTGCTTGCTCAGAATCTTGAGGTAGCCATATAGTGTAAGATTATGTGCTCTGTCTTACATCTCTTAATTGCATTTTATAAAGTTATTTCCACCAGTTATTTTACACAAGTTATTTTCACAGATTTTGTCTCCATGCACTTATACGTTCATGTGCTCCGTTGTTGGTCGGTTACTGAACAGTCAGATTTCTGATGTTTGTGCTAGTATTTGTTCGCATAAATTGTGCGAATGACGGGGCTGCCCATTGAATACTTGCATGCTGGTAATACGGCTATAAAATATTATTCTCCGTGCCAATTTAGCAAAAAGAAGAAGAAAATTGCATAAATAAAAAAAAAACAGGGCTGCATACCTCCATTTCTCTCTCCTGCCTTTTCCCTTGAAAGACTTTCCCGAAATTCCAGCAAGCGACTTGAGTTCTTCGTCCGACTGGGTGAAGATACCGTATCAGTCTGCACCAGAGTGAAATTTCGTGCCACCCAAAAAAGTTTCTGCAAAACACAAAACTAGACAGAGTTTTGAAATTCTTGCCAACACGAACACAAGACCCAGAACCAAGAATCGACTTAGCAAGCCCATTCGTGCAGTACACAGTATAACTTGCCAGCACAAACTGCGTTATGATTTGCTTTTGCATTCATACACAGGCCTTCACTCCATTTTGATGCGGTCAATGCAGTTTTTAAGTTTAGTTAATATTTTGACAATTTCAGCATGAAAGAGTTGGTTGAAAAAACACCCTCCTGATATTAAAGCTTTTGTTCCGACTACACTTGCTAACGGAAGTTTTATCTCAAGAATGATAGTGTATTCATCACACCTGTGTGTTGTGTATCGTGTAATGAATTTTGATTGTTCACTGCCATTATTATTTTTTTTGCCTGTTACACATGTAGCATGTATGTACCATGTTCAGCATGGGCGCACTGAAGCTACAGATTTGTAGCTTTAGGCATGTGGTCCTTTCCCTTTTCTTGTAAGGGAAAAATGAAGACAACTATATTTATAATTACTAAGAAGCAACATTTCAGATGCACCGAGAGCTTCGTTGAGGAGCGGTAGTTGCCTAAGAATTTCCGGAGTTGAAGCAGTGTCAAGCGGAGAAGCCCTGTAGAGTGTAGAAGGTCATGCGTGTGCTTATTTCTCGGCGGCACCTTACAAACCTATTAAGCAGGTCTGTGTGGGCAAAGGGCTATGATAAGAATAATAAGCGACACGTACTAAGTGTTGTACCTGCATGTGGATGAGACCGTACTTTCGGAGCGGCAAGACTTGCAGGTTTCACTTGTCTCAAGGCAAGCATCCGCAATGCAAGGCCCCCACGTTGAACAGAACATCTTGTCTCTCACCTTTTGCAGATGATCCAGCGAGATATCGAATACTGCGGCGACAGCTTCTGTAGAACGCTGGCCATTATCATCGTAATCACGATCTGGACGCCGAAGAGCGCCTGAAAACAATTTTTTTTGCTTTGTACTCGTGAGCCGCGAGTCATACTGCGCCTCTCTCGAGATGCTCAACGGGAGATTCAGTCGCATAACACTATTGCATTACACTTTGTCATAAAGAGACTCATTGAGTGATTGGTATTTGGCAAAAATGAAACTACGTACCATGCTTTTTGTCCGACGACGAGGGCAGCTCGAAAACCGCCCTTCACACGATCATGGCTCGCTCGAGCTGCTGCACGAAACACGGGGTGGATGACACTCTACTTTGTTGGCACGATCGAAGTTTGCTTTGCTGTAGCGAGGACCTCTTCTTCAGGACGCACTCGCATGCTAGTTAGACGATCGTAACAGCGTGGTCCCGTACGTCCGGCAAAACACCTTCCATCCTCTTTTGGCAGCAGACCGCTTCGGAGAGGTTACCGACACCGGCCTTTTTCAGGGTGGAGGCAAGATGAAGCAACAAATATATCATTCTTTTATTTTTATTTAGAAAATTACAATTAAGTGTAAGTAGCGTTAGACAGTCATAAATTTAGTAACTGCGTAAGTCAATAAACTGACACCTTAGGTAATCTCTAAGTTTTTGTTACAAGTTTCGGAGGCAACGCGTTACTTACGTTGCAAGTGCTAAAAAGAAAGCTTTGACGTCATAGTTGCCATGTTTTTAAAGCATATACAAGCCACAACGAGGACAAACCAGCCAAGGCCAGCTGATTAAATAGCCCATGTTTGAGCAGCCGACGCAGTGCGCATGTGAAGTACGCGTCACATCGAAATTAGCGGCGTATTTGCGTCGTATTAATGAAGCGAAATTAAGACCCGACGTCGTGTTTCCATCACTGCAGTTACTACGTCCGGGCTTTGCGCGTGTGTAAGTTTGTGCGCATTGCACTGCTCTACTCACGTTTCGACATGAGCGGGTCGGCGAGGTCGCTCGTACTGAACTCGTATAAAAGCCTTCACCGTGTGATTCTGCAAGTGTTTGAAGGTGACCCGGAGACCATACGAGCGGCCTAAGGTTAGAGTGAAAGAAGAATATGTCAAGAACCTACACGAAACGGACTCGCGTAAAATTGAGGAGCTCCTGATGACGGCCAAGGACGTGGAAAAAGTGCTTCAAACGGACCTGATCAAGGCAGTTCGAAATGAGAAGGGAAACTACGAAGTTCAGCTGAAGCCCCATCACCTGCAGGACAATGCTACGTGCAAGCCACACGATGCTAACGAACCACGCTAACGACTAACGGATGCGGTGATGCGCTGTTCTGTCGCGTGTTGGACGCGCTGTGCGCGATCTATTTTCACTGTAGGAAATACAGTTGTTGTTAATGCTCACTTTGTACGAATGAGGTTTTATTTGGTTATACACTGGTCATTGTGTGTGTTTGTTATGAAACCGAACAGTACAAGAGTCGCTAGATGCAATTTTGATCGCGACTAGCTGAACTCGACTAGAGTTCTAGACCGGTGGACAACGTTTCTCAATCGCTTAACTGCTGCCCCGAAAGACTCGGGTACACTACTCCAACTCGGTTTCGATGTCGGCTGATGCGGTCGCATTTCGATGGAGGCGAAATCGCGTGTGCTATGCAATGTTTTATTGCAAGTAAAAGAACCCCAGCTACGTTACTAATTTACCCAGAGCCCCTTTACTACGGCGTTCCTTATAATCATATAGTTGTTTTCGTACATAAAACCTTACAAATTATTATGTTCTCGATCGCAATTGTCTTGGACGCCGTGCGTAAGCCACGACTGCGGTGGAGAAATTCGATCTCGGAAGAAAGCACAGAATACCTATACCTTACCATGAGAAGAAGTGATTGCAAAACAATGTGGGAGAAATCTCTCACTCTCTCTCTCTATCATATTCGAGCTTGCAAAGCGCAGACGTTTTTCATAGTTGTCTGAAATATACGGGATATTCCCAGTAACTCTTGAAAAGTCATATAGTATGTATACATAAATCCGAAACTGAAACTTGATGACTCGACAGGTCGAGAAACTGCCATCGCCGTCGACAGTATCACTCTCTCTCTCTCGTGATGCTGTATCGCATAGCCTTGGATGCGCGCGCCGCCCTCTCCAACTCCGCGATCATTTAAATGGCCTGGTAACCGTCGCGCTGCACGAGCTGGCACGGTTAGGATGAAAAGTCATCCCTGGTATATTTTTTTACGTTAGCCTCAGCTGGTCTCTCCGAATGGCTATCAACAGAGACAAGGAGGCAGCAGTCCTGCAATGGGTACGTCCAGCACCACCCGTTCGTTACCGAACGGCTTCTTTCACTCGACCCTACAAAGCTACATACTTCCGCTGTGACGTTTCAACGGCTTTTCATCACTGTGAGCGATATTTTGCTGCAAAAACCGTAATATTGCGTATTTTTGGCTGTAATTAATACGTGAGGCCATAGGCGAGCGTGCTGAAAGATAGGTAGCTAACGTGGTTGCTTGCGCGAGTTGGTACGACATGATAGGGCCGTTGGTATTGTGCCGGCATTTTACCCTTCGCAGCCGGCAGCTGTTGCTGGAGATTTCAAGCAGAACCTTGCCGAGATTAGGTCCAGTATGTCGTTCCTTCGGCTCTTGCTATTTTACCAGTATCCGCGGTCAGTGGCGTAGCTAAGGAGTGGCACACTGGGCCTGGAACTGGAGACAGAGCTGAATAAAATGACCATGCAGTCTCTTAATTGGTATGGCCCGAAACTTAAAGCGCAGGAGCATAAACACGGCCCGCCGTTGTGGCTAAGATACTCGACTGCTGACCCGCAGGTCGCGGGATCGAATCCCGGCTGCGGCGGCTGCATTTTCGATGGAGGGGAAAATGCTGTAGGCCATTGTGCTCAGATTTGGGTGCACGTTAAGAACCCCAGGTGGTCAAAATTCCCAGAGCCCCCCCCACACACACACACACTACGGTCTCATAATCATATGGTGGTTTGGGTACGTTAAACCCCACATATAAATCAATATATCAGGAGCACATAAGGATTACACCTGTGATGAAGAAAGAGAGTAGTGTGTGAATGCCTTAAACTTGAGTATGGGCATACAACCTGAAAATATGCTGCACATACGTTAAATCGAAATGGATTTACATTTGAATAGTGCAATGCATACATTCGTGCACTACTCGGACATTCAACTCTGGTGAATCTCAATAAAACAATACTTCAACAACCCTGTCATAATAAAAATATTTTTTGCTTCTGTACACCATTTCCCGTTGGAATATACTGGCTGATGATGTTGTAAACTGCTCATTGGTCAAATTCATTAGCAGCACTCAGAACTTTGAATTCGAATGGTTAAAAATAATGTCATTAGTATTTCATATGCAACCTCTTGAGCCTGCATAGTTATTATACTTCTGTATCCCTGCTTGTATGAACACCTTGTTTACTATATGAAGTGCATATTTTCTTGTTAATTTTGTATGTGTCCATACTCTTTTTTTATGTGCATATAGTCTTTTTTGGTTCTTTGTGTGTGTGTGAACTGAATTCAAGTTCAACCCACTACTGCATGCCCTCGAGAAGGGCCTGCAGTATTGTGAAATAAATACTACAAATTCACACCCGGGGGTCATCGTCTCTTCCCAAAAAGTCACTGTCTTACATTTGGAGGAAATTTCTCGGCAATAGAAGCACGTATTTCTATGTCCAAGAATGAAATAAAAACCCATGTTCGCGCTGTTGCATCTGTGCAAAATAGCAATGTTATGTTGCCTATTGAAGAGTATTCAGAGATGACAATACATTTTTGGAATCTACACTATCGGAATGATGTGCAGCAGAATGTAAAAAAGTTTTCACATTTTGTCACTTTCATATAGGCATTGCTTATTGGTAAGACTTAGCTGTGTCACTCCATGCAGGGTGTGACATGGATTTTTCGGGAATAGTTGCACTTGATGAGCAGCAGCACATTTTTCAAAACTAATGTTGAGGGAGTGCAAAAATGAATACAGGCAGCTTGACCGAAATTTCTTTTAGATGGTCATTTATTGAAACATTCTGCAAACTTAAGGTGCAGTAAAAGGTTGCTGTAATCGAACTGGAGCTTTATGGTTTTTTAATGGAGGAGGAAAATGTTCAGATCTGTCCATGTTTCAATAAACTAGATTTGTGCTCGGCAACAAGCACGCTTAAGGTGTTCTATTACTGTGGTTCCATGTGTGAGGTCTCTACTGGGAATTGTTCATTTGAATATGCATTTAGCTAAAACTGTTCTAACTTGGCACTGTTGTATGGGATATAAAATAAACAGCATGCACCGCACTTCACATTTACATTACAATTACTTCTAATAAGTGCATATACTTTCCTTGGCATAATTGTCTGTTAGATCTCATAAATATTGTGTCTAACAAAGAATAGGAGCCCTTAAATGTACACTTCTTTCCTTCATGTAATCGTACTGGCATATACCAGGGCTGGGCAGAGATACTCAGAAAAGTATTCCAGAATAGAGATGTTAAAATACAGGAACTAGAAGTCTGAAATAGATACTGAGGTACATTTGTTTTTGACCTAACTGCATATTTTGGATACACATTCGCAAACAGACAAGAAAGGTATTCTGGAATACTTTTTTTTTTTCTCATTTCAGGGATGCTTATACTCTGCAACTATCTTCATGAAAGTACAGCCAAATATTGCGAATAATGTAGCTGCACTTTGAAACTTACAAGCAAAGCATATTGCCTGATTTGCTGATGAACACCAGGGTACTATAAAGTGTATAATTAATTTACCCATACAATCTGCCTTGCTGAAAATGTTGTTTCTTGAACTGCATTGAGGCGTCAGCCACTTCTCCAATATGCTATCAGCTAGACAGCATCGGCTGTGCTTCACCACAAGAGTTGTGAACTCTCTAAATGGTTGGTCCTTCAGAAAAAATTAGGGCTGCTGTGTCAATCTTGAAAGGTAGTGACATTGTTGACAAGACAGACTAAAGTGCTTCTGCCATCAAAGGAGTTAAATTCTATACCACATCGGCCATTCTATGCGTGTGGGAAATCCTTGCCCTCCTTTCCTGGGCATTTGCTTAGCTTAGTGGGAAAAAAAAGGCTCTTTTTTTTGCAAACACGTCAGGTTATTTCCATCAAAAACATAACGAGATAAGCATGTAGTGCACAGTATTGCATTACAGTCTATAGATTGCAGAAGTATTTCGTTACCGAGATATAAATACATGTTTCAAATGTATCTCAATACAGAAATACAGATACTAGAAAGTATCTCAGAGATACTGCCCAGCCCTGGCACATGCTAATTTATCCTCAGGTGATTGCATTATACTCCACAAATAAGTTGTCCTTGCCTTTCAGGCTTTTCTGGCTATTGCTATAATTTTGAAGTGTCTTTTTTTTTAGGGTTCATGTAATTTATTAATTTCTGACGACCGCTTTCTTTTCTCTCTTATTTTGTGGTAATCGCTTATGCTTGAGCTTTATTTTGTTGAAGTATAAGAGTACAGGTGCCCTACTAATGCTTTGTATTTTTGTTATTGCGCAGCTCTCCTGCTACAACGTAAAAGTTCGGGCCATCTCGGACCTTCAGGATGGCTTGCAGCTACTCAAGCTGCTCTCCACCATGTGAGTTTTGCTTGCGCACAAGGCCAACGCTCCTGAGAACATGTTTACTGAATGCACCACGAAAAGATTGCCAGGGCACCTATTTGAGCTGTTAACTATACCACTCGAGCAAAAAAAGGTGTACATATGCTATATTAATTCAAGTAGTCTTACAAATCATAAATTTGGGAGCCAGTGTTTGAAAAATGCTGTTAAGCAAACATTTGCCGAATGCACGATCTTCTTGTTTTAAACACATTTAGCATATCTCGGGGTAACGGCACGAAAAACGAGAACAACAGACTCACAGACATGCAAGAGACGAGGTGATGTGTGTGCTAAATGGCCCTTAAAGAGGCCATCCAGCAACATTGAAGCACATATTTTTTTTGTCTGTGGTTTGCGTAGACCGATAGCTGGAGATAAATTTAGCATTGGTCTAAGCGCCGGTATCAAATGATTTAGTATTTTAATCATGAATATGTCGCTACATCGCTTCCGACTGTATTACCACCTTGTGGCACTCTCCAGAAAGTCACGGGCGGAAATGATGCAGAAAGGTTGCCGCCATATCATTAGATAAAGGTAACTTTAGAAGCAATCGTGGTGTGTGATCAGAACTGAGGTTACTTGTCTGTTTCAATTTTATTCTCTGTGCTTTTTCACCGAACACTTAACAGACGCGGCCACAACAAAAAAAGATCACTACGACTACAAACCAGGACAGAGGCGCTAGCTGTTATTTCGCCACTGGGTTTCTTAAAGCTTTGTTGGAATATAAGTTTGTACGAGCTGGCTGTTCCCAATTATGCACAGAATACTTTCAGTACGAGCTGCTTCAGTTTTTGTCGCCAAAGTTTCATCCAGTCATCATGGCATCCACGAAGAAGTGTGTCCAGGAATGTAGCAATAGTGAAATCTATTGTTTATGTGCCCTCTTGTAGCTGTATGCATTAAGGAATTTATTATTCTGTTTTTTAGTCTGATCTCAGTGCTATCTCTTTTTCCCAAGGGACTGCACCTCCACTGTAGAGAATGTTGAGCCAGGGAAGGCCTTCCCCACCATCGAAAAGCAGCTGTGCGGTAAGTTGATGGCCTGCTACAGTCTAGGAAATGGTACACATTAGTGCATACCTTGTGCTCACTCTGCAACAAAAGTAGCCGGAAATAAAGTGAAGGTTAGGTCCACATGAAAAGTTTTGTTTCATTCAGGCAATGAAGGTGTAAAGGGTTATGTGCAAAATTTTTACAAGACAGTCTGCAGACAAGCATGATTGGCCACTCAGCAGCCTATCGTGTTATTCAATCAGACAGCACAAACACAGATGTTTGTGCTGTCTTGATCTCTTCTGTGTCTGTCTTCACTTGCTTACTGTCTTTCAGCATGAATTAGTGCCAGGTGGCTAAACTTCGTCTATAGCACTGAAAATGAGATTGCTTCAGCACTTGTGCGTGCTTGCACACGTACTTATTCGTGCTCATGCAGACTCTGTGTGTTCTTCTAAAGTTCTTGCCAATGTTTTTGCCATATGTTGCCAAGAAATTTCAGTGAGTGTAGATCTTTCAGCAATGGAGATCAACCTTGCCAAAAACCTAGCATGCAGAAAAATTGTTTGGGCTAATAAGCTGCTGGCGAAATAATTGAAACAAAGTAGAGCAAAGAAAGTGCATTGCTCTGACAATTAAGGTATGACCGGACCATATTCATGGGCAACCAGTTCGTTAATTTGGCGGCACATCGATAACTTTCTCCATGTTCTTTTTTTTTTTTTTTTTCAAAGGCTGTCAATATTCTATGGATGAAATGTAGCTGCACAGAGTACTAGGTTCGTGTATATTGCACAAATTTCTCAGATACTAGCAGTAAGTGCCGCTTGCTTTCTAGACAGAAAAACGTGCAGTAACTTGTTGGGTAACATAGTGAAAAACAATTGCCAACATCATTTGTGCCGCCTGTTCTTTTCATGAGCTACATTCTCTTCATAGAGCATTTCTGTTCAGAGTGCATATACACTGCACCTATACAAACCAGCAAACTCTATGTGATGAAGAGCATGAGGTGCAGGCTCAAATTATCAAAATCTTAGCCCTAAAAGCGTCTTAGCCTCAATTATCAAAATCTTAGCCCTATGAGCGTCTTAGCTTTAAAAGGGCTAAGACGCTCATAACTGCTCTCCTCAGTACTTGTAAACAGTGCTTTTGATATGTACAAATTTTATCAGTTTACTAGGCTTGTACAAATATTTGAACAAATAGTAGAGTATTTGAATTCGCCTCGATTCAAATCTAAATTATTGAAAATTTCGAAGTATTCGCAATAAACGAATAGGTGTATATTAATCCGCATGTAACCGCCTGCAAAAGTGATTTCACTGCAGTGTGGGGATGCTAAGCCGTGAAAGCACCTATGTAAGAGAAATCTGCTTTGCCACGAAGCTTCACTTTAGTTTGTAAGGGACCGACAACTGCTTTGAACATGAAATGAGATGACTGCACGGATGGAAAGATTGTCCTTATAGTGGCTCAAACCAACCCTGTTTTTCTCGTGAGAAGTGGGATTTTTATTTTTATACCTTCATTGAAAATCGTGAAAAATGGCCTGTGGTGTCTCTGGTGGCAAAAACATAAACTATCATGAATGCCCTGTCACGTGACCATGCTGTTAATGTACACGGTCAATAATAAATTGATTAGTACTGAAATATTGTTTGATTCTTTATAGCAAAAGATAGTATTTTATAAAAGTATACATATAAGCTTGCGTTAGTAGTATGCATTAAAGTGGCGCTGCCTTCGCGTGACATATGCGCTGTTCCGTTTTCTATTGCTTGGCTTGGCGACACTGTACAAATGCAGGGAAGCTCTATAGAGCCACATAGTCTCATTGTAAGGGCTTATTATTTTCAAAAATAGTTTTAAAGTGCAGAATAAACTGTTGTTAAGCATAGTTCCAGAAAACCCAGCGAAATAAAAACGACAGCATGTATAAGCCACCGGAAAGGCTACCGGCATCGCTATCAATACTCGGCGTTACCGAATGAAAAGGCACTACCGTGTTCAGAGCTTTACAGATCGAAAAATACCGCTTATAAAATGACTACAAGCTCTTGGGATTAAGTACTGCAGCTACAATCACTACGAAGAGCAAGCTTTCTGTCGCGCAGGCACGCACAGGAAAAAGCTGGATAGAAAAAAGTCAGTTGTCGGTCCCTTTAAAGGGGCCCTGCAACACTTTTTGAGCACTGGTCAGAAAAAGCTGCCGGTGGGTGATCGAGCCTACCAAGAACGCGCGAGCCAAGCATTATAGCGCGTCACAGCTGTTGTATTAGCCAATGGCTGATTTGGGCATGGCGTGTTCATCGTCACTGGGGCTGCCACGAGAGGCCGCCACTTGTCCACGCGTACGTGTGCAGTCGCACTGAAGAGCCGCGTATTCAAAGGGGAAAGGGGAGAGGAAAAGTGCTCAAGGTCACGAAGTGCACGTTTCCCCATGCCATCCCTCTCTGCTTAGCTTCCAGCGTTTTCGTCGGGACAAGAATAGAGGATGCAATCGCAGCAGGCGACAAATCTTGGCAACTTTACTCGTACTGGACAGATTGTAAAAATTTTGGGTCGGTGAATTCGTGAGGCATTAAGCTTCTTTAGTGAATGCATCCCATTGCTACTTACAAACGTGTTGTAGGGCTCCTCTAAATTAACATATTACCCTCAAATTGATCATTCATTTTGTTAGGCATAAAAGCTTATTAAGAGGGTTTGTATGCTCTAGATATAAAAAATAATAAAAAGTTACGTATCTCACAGATTATCACTTGCATCCTACCAATAGTCAAATCCTGCTGCTACTCAGTTCTATTGGCTTCCTTTGAATGAAAAAAAAAAGATATTTGCATAGAGGCCTTATTTTAGTTTTAAAAAAAATATTCTGCAGGTTTGTTATGTCATGTGAAATATGCCGATTTTTTTTATTTATATGTCATATATACTATTCGAATTCGATTTGAAATTATTCGACCAAAATCACTATTTGCTTCGAACCTAAAATTCACTATTCGCACAAGGCCCCGCCGTGGTGGTCTAGTGGCTAAGGTACTCGTCTGCTGATCCGCAGGTCGCGGGATTGAATCCCGGCTGGGGCGGCTGCATTTCTGATGGAGGCAGAAATGTTGTAGGCCCGTGTGCTCAGATTTGGGTGCACGTTAAAGAACCCCAGCTGGTCGAAATTTCCGGAGCCCTCCACTACGGCGTCTCTCTTAATCATATGGTGGTTTTGCGATGTTGAACCCCACATATCAATCAATCACTATTCACACAAGCTTACATTTTACTATTCATTCATTATTTCATTGCACTGTTTAACTGTGCCAATGTAAGTGAATGTTCTTGACATTTATGATGTTGTGAAAGCCTGAGTGAGGATTATCACTCTCTTCAAAATATTTACAGAAATAACTAATTGCAGCTTTTATCGCCAACATTTCATCTTAACACCAGTTGAGGTCCAGCAAGGATGTTTTCGTGGAGATGAGAGGCAAAAGAAAGTAGTTGCAGCGTGCGACAAATCTTTGTAACTCTGCTCGTGCTGAATGGATTCTGAAAATTTTATGCGGCAGTCAGTTGGTGAGGCAAGAAGCTCCTTCACTGAATCAGTTCCATGGCTACTTGGAAAGGTGTTGCAGGGCCTCCACAAGGTACATTGTGGAAAGACGCTGCAATCTGTAGAAGTGGGCATAAATAAACTGCACACTTATGCTGAACACTAAAAGATTGTCTTTTGATGATTAAAGGGGCCCTGTAATACTTTTTAAGCATTGTGAGAAAACTCTGCCGATCGGTAGTAGAGGCTCCCGACAACACGCGAGCCAAATATTATAGCGCAGCACACGGCCTGGAATTCACAAAAAATTATCACGGTCACCTAAAAATTGCTTTCTCTTCTCTCAACAAATCATGCAATATTCCCAAAAATCACTCGTAGCAAGCCCATCTATCAGCCCTCGGCTGATTTGAATATGGCGCGCGCGCTCGTTACAGAGATTGCCGCGGTAGGTCACTACTTGTCCACGCGAGCGCGCGCTATCACACTAAAAAAGCCGCGCATTCGAAGCAAAAAAAAAAAGAGCTCAGGGTCACGAAGCGTGTGTGACGTTTTTCTGTGGCCCTGCCATCCCTTCCTGCTTAGCTTCCAGTGCTTTCGTCGACACGAGAGAGGAGAGAATGCAATTGCAGAATGCGACAAATCTTTGAAACTCCACTCGCACTGGATGGATTCTTAAAATGTTTGCGGCGTTGAATTCATGAGGCAATAAGCTCTTCCAGTAAATTCATTCTATGGTTACTTGAAAAAGTGTTTCAAGGCACCTTTAAGGTGCCCCGTGCCGTTGCCCCAAAAGTTTTGTTCTCTGTCGAGCTGCCACGGGGGTCTAGGGGTCATGGTGCTCTCCTGCTGACCAGAAGGTCGTGGGATCAAATCTCTGCTGCCACCACTGCATTTTCAATGGAGGAGAGAATGCGTAAGGCCCGTGTGCTTAGATTGAGGTACACGTCACAGAAAGTCAATTTCTAGAGCCCTCCACTACTGCATCTCTCATAACCATATGACAATTTTGGAACATTAAACCCCGACAATTATTATTTGTTCTGTTTCAGAGTACCACTCGTGTCTCCCAGCTCGCTTCCTTTCATCAGGACCCGCTAGGCGACAGCGGTACAGCGACGTTCAGTTGGCCACCGCTTCGGTCCTGGCACTCTCGGCTCTAGCATTGCGGGCCATAAGTTGCAACCCAGCCAGTGAAATGGCTCCGCTTCTCAAGTTGGACGAGGCAACACAGTGCTGTATCAGAGACCTGATGCAGATTGTGAGCGCAGGCGACGATGTCATCGAAAACTTGATGGCCTATTTGAAAGGTTGGTGGAAGCACCTTTTTAGAGAAGCTGTTCTAGCAAGGCGTTAAATGTTCGTCGTGTCCCAAAAACCTCTTCTAGCGTTGCTTAGCAATCAGCTATGCCACATCTGGACAACACCTACCATAAGCTCGCCAAGTTGCACATGATAGCAGCTGCTGCAAAGCCACGTCAAGGACATAGCATGTGCATCACATCTTCAAGCAACCACATACCACACCACCCTGCTAAGCTGCAGATATGCAGTAGCTAAGCCATGCCCACCATAGGGGACATCACACTCGACCTCACTCGGCACTGCATAGCTTGTCTGCACACAGTCACGCTGAGACTGTCATGGGGCGTCCTAAGAAAGTCCATACTCCTGAGAAGCGAGCTGCGCATTTTGAAACTTGCATGTTAATTAAACAAGGTTCTGCGCAAAGGAAATATGTAAGGACAAGGAAGTGAGCAAGGACAGGTGCAGGCTCTCGACTGGATTTTATTGAAAAGGAAATGATTATTGATATGACACAAACCACACATTCATCTATGTGTATGCGAGAAACCTACTCTCATTATTTTTCAATCTTATCGAGGTTTTACTGATGCAAATATTTCTTTTCCTCGTGATGAAGTAAGCCTCGGCAAGTTCACTTGCCAACTGGTCTTGATTGCCTCTCAAATTTTCGTTGTCTCCAGCAAAGGCTCGCACGGTCTGCCACGGGCAGTCTAAGGGCATGTGCTGCAGTGAAGAGACAGATCAGATCCTTTTATGTGCTTGGTCAAAAGTTGGTGTTCCCTTAGTCGCTCATTTATACACGGGCCCATTTGGTTGATGTTTGTTTTCCACTTTTTCGGCTCGCCCAGCAACATGCATTATTGACGCTTGCATGTGTTGGTTGAAGGCAACGACTGGTTGATCAAGCCTGCTTGGCTGAGGAAGCCACCGCAAAGAGGTGGCACCGAGCTGATCCTCACTACACTGGACAAGACAATGCCCCGAATGCAGCAAGAGAGCAATTGTTTCACAAAGACCTTGAAGTGATGAAAGCAAAGTGCAATTGGCAATGGGCTTGTACTTCACAGCGCCAAGCTTCGCGCGACTTAGTGCAAACTTCTTGCATTTTTTCACTACTGAAATGTACATTGATCATGCATGGATCTTCGGAATAGATTTTGTCTTCTTACCTGAAGATTTTCTATCTATTTATTTTATTCTGTTACCTCAAAGGCCCCAGTTTAGGGGTTTTACATGAGGAGTGGTCAAAAAAAATAAAAAACTAACATAACAAACGTTTGATAACTTCTTTGAAGAGTACTAAGCTGTAGTGGTGCACGGTGCCAGCAGGGAGAGCATTCAGTCTTTGGAAGTCAGCACGAAAAAGGACGATGAGTCAGCTACGGTCTGAGCATGAGGCGAGTGAACGGCCTTGGTGTGTTTGAGTCTGCTAGAATGGTGATGAGCTGGGATGATCACAGATGTACGAGGGGTAGCATGATAAAATTTATGAAATAGACAAAGTCGGGCGATTTTGGGACAAACAGCAGAATTGGGAAGGTTAATACGAGATTCTGGCTCTGTAATGCTGCTGTTATATGAGTAATCGGAGAGGATAAACCTGGTCGCACGATTCTGAAAAGATTCTAGTGTTTTAATTATGTTACATTGGTGGGGATCCCATATGGCACATGCATATTCTCGCTTTGGTCTCAGTAGAGTGTTATATGCTAATAGTTTTACTGAAGATGGGGCTAGGCGTATGTTCCGGGGTAGGTATCCAAGTACACGGTTAGCTTTGTTAGTTATATTGGTGATGTTTGGCATCCAAGAGAGATCAGCGGTGAGTTCTATGCCGTGGTATGTATAGGAAGTAACAAAAGATTGAATAAAGGAGTTACTATGAAGGTATTGAGGTGCATGATAGTCTTTTCTGCAGGTGAAAAGAGAGGAAAAATGTATTACTGAGGTTTAGGGACATAAGCCATTTTGAGCACTAGTCATTTACGTGGTTTAGGTCAGATTGAAGCGCTGGGATGTCATTATTGTTGTGAATTGGCCGATAGATGACGCAATCGTCTATGAATAATCTGATGTTGTATGAAATGTTGGTAGGTAGGTTATTGATATATATTAGAAAGAGTGGAGGACCAAATACAGACCCCTGAGGAACCCCTGACCTAACGAACGATGATTGAGAATAATGAGCGTTTACAAAGACAATTTTTTTTTCGTTAGTCAAAAAAATCTTGGATCCAATGTAGTACAAGTAGGTGGACGTTCAGGCGTGACAGCTTAAAAAAAAGTCTTTTATGCAGAACCTTGTCAAAGGCCTTCTCAAAATCCAGAAATAAAGCATCTACTGGTATGGTAATATCTATGGCGGAGCTAATGTCATTTATAAATAATGGTAACTGCATTTCACAAGGAAGTCCTTTTTGGAAACCATGCTGGTTTTGGTAGAAATAATCAATAGAAAGAAGAAAATCAGCTATGTGTGAGTAAATAATGTAATCCATTAGTTTGCAACAAACACACATCAATTATATGGGTCGATAGCTGTTAAGGGAGGAAGAAATAGCTTTTTGGGGGGCAGGAATGATTTTTTCTACTTTTCTGTCTTATGGCACCACTCGAGTTGACAATGACTGCTGCAAAATGCTCTGAAGGATGACACTGCATACATGTTTCGTACTTTTCAGTATTTTTGAGCTTATGTTATCAACTCCTGCAGATGAAGATAATTTAAGAGACTCAATGGCCTTTTCAATTACTGCAGCACTGATAATGAGTTCTGACATGGGCGGATGATCAAGAAATGGAATATGAGGCAAGATGTAGTCAGGCTCTATAGTGAAAATAGAACAAAATACTGCGTTCAGAACATCTGGCACACTGCAATCAGGGTATCACGGAATCGTACTGATCATGTAGCAATACCGATTTGGCGGGTTGTGGGCTTACTATTTTCCAGTAACCTTTGGATTACTTTTCAGCATGTTTGGAAGGGTAGAAGAAAAACAAGTACGCTTTGTTTTAACAGCAAGACACTCAAATTTCTTCTCAATGTCGTGGTATTTCTGCCAGGCAAGAAGCGTATTCAGTGATCTTGCCTGACGGAATTTGCGGTTTTTATTTTTCATACGTTTGAGTGATGAATTGCACTACGGTGAACTGGATTGCTCAGTAACCAATGACAGTAATCAATGACAGTAAAAGATGTCATTGATTTAGGAAGAGTTAGTAAAAAAAAAAGTTATGTACACTGGCCTACCTGCCTAAAACTTTCGTAATGTTTACTAACTTGGAATTCTCGTACCATTTTTCTAATGTCTTCTCATATATGGTATCTTTTTTTTTTTTTCTTTTTTTTTCATGGCCGCCCAATACAGCTCATCTAACAATGGTAACATTGTGCTTCATCGTGTGTGCTTTGTACCAAAGATATTCAGGCACTCATTCACAGGAACGTTTAGCTGCGTGCCAGAACAGCATAGCTTGTTGAGCTACTCCTAGTGGATCTGAACAAGCGATGTGCTATAACAGTGGTGAATGTGCAGCGTGAAGAAATTTTGACTAGTGAAGCCAACCACTGAGGGTTTTGGAGGCCAAACATCGTGCAGTCTGTTTCAATGTGTGAACTATAAGCCTCGAAACTACTAAATTCGGTATTATGCTTATCCACTATTCAACATTTTTCCTGCGTAAACTTTCCCCTTTTTTTGAATTCTTGCTTTGCAGCATCCAACATGGAAGAGGAGAGCTTCCTCTGCGTCCCTATGTTGAAGCGCAGGAAGAGTGAGAGTTTCACGTCCTCTCCAACGGGAGCGCAGACTCCAGCCAAGCGTAGCAGCATGTCTCCACAGCAGCGCGCCCTTGTGGTGAGCTTCTTCAATGCATGCTTCGGTGGTCTGTCTGATTGTTATCCGCCATTGTGTACACAGCCTGCACTGGCTCACTTTTAGTCCACAGAAAATGCAGTCAAAGGCATACTGGCACTCCTTGTGTTAAAAAAAAGCTGTTCTAACTAGGTTGTTTATGCTGAAAGGCCATTAAAGAGAAGCATTGCACCACTTTAAACGGACACTAAAGAGCAACAATGGCTTGGCAAACTGCATAAACTACATTATGAGAACTCTAATACTATAAGTTTCAATATCATAAGTTCCTTATTGGCGAGAAAAAATCAATGTTGAAGTTCAATCTCTAGCTCTTGCGCCGAAATTGCCGCACGTGACGTCACCAATTTCAAAATGTACATTTCGTATTTGCGCAGCACTGGCGTGGTGAGATTTTCAGAAACTTCGTATGCTAAGGTCTGTGGCGCCCACAGGTGACAATGTGCTTCATTTTTATCAATTGTAAGCTACGTAGGACTCAGTAGATGTCATCGAAATTATGTCACGGTGTTTAGTGTGGCAATCTCAAGCTGGCAGCGCCACCTGCATTTTTTTTCCCGCAATTCTTCTCGCTTACCAAGCTTTGTCCCACAGTAAGAATAGTGTTTTTGGAATTGTGATATTGTACATTACTAATACGCAAAAAATCATTTTTTTTTCTTTAGTGTTTTTTTTTTAAAGGGGACCTCTATTGCTTGAAAGCATCGGTGCCGACTTCATAACTCGTAGTGGTGCTCGCCAGAACTACTGTGAGCGGGAATGACACCGGAAGGTTGCCGCCATATGATTGGATAAACGTAACGTTAAATGCGATCACAGCATTGCATTAAAACAGGGATTACTGTTGGATTTCTTTTTTCATTAGCATGATTTTTCACTCAAAGCGACTGAGAATAAAGCTCTCAGACTTTTCCCGCTTGAAAACTGCAAAGCTGGTCTAAGAATGCGCCAAACACCGTGTGCTGGAGAAAACGCGCCGGAGACGCTCCGGGTGCGTTGTTTGAAGAAACCAAAAGAAAAAATGTAAGAGCGTTGATATACAAACGTCATTGCAAAACGAAAGATAAGTAAAGCTACAAAACATTATAAAAGCGTTCATGAGCTGGCTCGTTTCGCACGTGTCGTTCCCTCTTCAAGTACCACATTGCTTGTTACCATCGCAACAGCATCCTTAATACGCTGGACGTAACAGGCAATATGTCATGCGAGCTTCCTGTATGGCAGGGCTTTCAGTTAATTTCATTGGGCAGCCTCCGGACATCAGAGGGCAAGGGAAACGTGGTAAGGGGTGCCAGCAAAAATAGAGGTGAGGGTAAGCATCCATTTATTTGTATTTTGATATCTCTACGCTGAATAACTTTGCGCAGCGTGCCCCTATCGCTGCCGTTCTTGCGGCATTTGTCTCTTAAGCTGTCAGTGTACGCAACCAGCTAGAAAAACATGTAAAACTTTCAAGTCGTGAAAAGTGTTAGAGGGCCCCTTTAAAGCCTACCTGTTTGGTTTTGCATTGGAAAAGTTGCATTGGTGTTACAGCAATACACTGCCGCTGCCGAGCATGAGGTGGTGAGTTTGACCTGACCACGGGTCGTGGCGGTCACACTTACAATGCAAAAATAAAACAACCTTAAGTATGTTTAAACTTAAACACCCACACCCTACCCTGGCGTTGCTGTACGCGCTCTTCATTGCAGGGTATACTGGCCCTTTGGGCTAGTTAGTGCAGCTCTCTATCTAGAAGTGAAAGAAGGAAGGGAGAAAGATACAATGCGCACAATATTAGATGGTTCTGAAAGCCTCACACTAAGTACTGAGGAAGGTGGTGGTCGCTACCCGTTGTTTGGATTAGGGGTGTGATGAGGCAAAAAGGGGGCCTTGCTACACTACAGAGAAGGCAAAGCGTTCACCGCATCTTTAGGTGTCCGTTGGCAAGTTTCAAGGAGCACTACTTTATGTACGCGGAATGCCTAACACTTTCGTGTTCCTATTGAGATCTGCACACCTAGAGTGAACCCCAAGATCCCTCCTTTTTGTAGTGTGTAAGTGCTGACATCTGTGTACAAAACAAATTTCATGTCAGAGTTGCTTTTGAGCTGGTGAGTGCTCTTAGACCAACTACTCGCTGCACAGTTCACATGTTTCGAAGCCTGGTGCGATTCTACACTTTTGTCGTATATCTTACTCGAGTTAACGACACTCTTTGCACCGCATAACATTTGTGCAGCTTTTCCTCAAGAAATTTCAAGCACGGGCATGGCTCCGTGGCGGAACATCTGCTTGCTACACAGTGGTCCTTGCTTTGATTGCCACTCGAACCGAGAACATTTTATTTTTATTTTTGCATTTCTCGAACTTTTGCAAGTCAGGCTCTTTAATGTTGTCACATTAAAAAGAATCTTGTACATCGGTGGGGAGGCGGGGTCAAAAGTCCCCAGGCAACGCTGCCGTGGGAACGCGAGGTATAGTCGCCCAAGAACTTTTGACCTGCCTTGTACATAGATTTAAAGGCATGCTAAAGAAGCCCAAATTGTCTTATATCTGTGTCGCTCTTACAGCATGCCTTGCAAACACATTGTGGTTAGTGGCTACCAAATGTCCACAGTTATCACGTGCCTTGGCTCTTTTTCAGTCTGAAGCCAGACTAAGCAAATGCTTTTTTAATTATTATTATTCCACTTTATGAAGCTGAATTCTAATGGGACAGAATGCAAAAACACGAGTGTGCTTTGATCTAAGTGCATACTAACAAGTTCAATTTTTTTTCCAGATTTTACCGCTTACCGTAAGAAATTTATCAATATGTTTTATTCACTGTAAAATTGTGCGAAATATTTCACTGGCATGTACTCGGTGTTTGACAAAGGCTTGCAAACACAAATTCCAGTACTACTAGCTTTCACTGTGGCTTAGGAATATAGTTTAATCGCAACAATGCAGGCTTATTATGAGCTGCGAACACCTTTGCGCTGAAGTATATTAGTACATTCATTTGAAGTGTGCAGACGTACGTTAGTACACCCTGACTTCCATTTGTACGATGGAATGAAAAAGCTACTTCATTGATTCATTTATTTGTTTGTGGGTGTGTAATAGCAGTCTTCAAAAGCATGTTCAATTTTAGATAGGCACACTTAAATAAACTTTTAAGGTAATGAATTGCCCACGTTCCTGCAAGCCATTGTGCACCAGATCATTCGTTCCTACTTCTAAAGCTTGGTATATGTGTGCTTGAATCTGCATGGCTTAATCGTGTGAGCCTTGAGTAAGAGGAGGATTATAGTATCACAAACTAGTGTGGGATTGTAGATGTGGAGATGGCTTAATCGTGTGAGCCTTGAGTAAGAGGAGGATTATAGTATCACAAACTAGTGTGGGATTGTAGATGTGGAGATAGGTCGCAGAAGTAGACTGGAGACGCTTGCAAATGAGAACATTTCAAAACCTAGTGCATCTCAACCACATATACCCCAGGCAGTTTCCCGACGCTGGCTGTATCCTATGTAAACACGAATACGCAGACATAGAACACATTCTTTGGAAATGCCCACACACTACACGGTTTTTCGATCACCAAAACCCGGATCTCCTTGAGACGCCTTGGCTCGACGCTCTGGCTAGCTCAGAGTTTGAAGACCAAGTTTAGGCCATCCAGCAGGCTCGAGAAGCGGCGAAAAGGCTAAACCTTACCGCGACCACCCGGGTGGCCTAGGGCCGGCCGCTAATCTGCAGGTTTTAAATAAAGTTTTGTCCATTCCATCACACACTATACCTGTGAAGCAACAATATTAAAGCTGTCAAGCTGTAGCTCAGTCTTGGTCTCCGCCCCTGGATAACTTTACACGTTACAACTGTGGCTAGTCTGTAAGTGTGTCATTAAGACGCTCTAATGCTTTCTTGTGCTTGTACGCAATGCACTTTTATGTTCTGTTGGTAAGTACGAGTAGTTCCACTACAGTTGCTGGTTGCAGATATGTTTCTCTCTCATTGAGCTGTAAATGTGTGGACTGCATGGTTGATGGTTTCAGTGTGTACAAGTGCATACCCTGGATGCCTTCCAGTTTTTTCCACTAACAATGCATACCAGCGCTGGTATGGAAGAAAAGTCTTGGCAAGTGGTCCGCAGACTTTCAACATTTTTTTTCATGTGTTTGGCCGAACGTCTTAAATATTCCTCAAAGCTATACACAAGATTAGGAGTGGCACTCTTGATTTTTGAATACCCTCCTTTTATCCAAAAATGTAGAGAAATTTTTTCAGACTCAGAGACAACTTCAAAACACTACGGGTAGAATGCTTGCTAATACAGTTGAATTCACAGCACAGCCTACAATGTCCTTTTTAAATATACAATTCTTGATCCTGAATGCCTTCATAACATTGCCTGTTACAATTATACTTGAAGTAGGCAGAAAGGCTTCAATCAAACTGATATTTGGCTGAGTTGGTATGTATTCATATTTTCACTTTCTTTTTATTGTACACAGAAGACAAGGACAAAAAAAAAATCACAGCATATCCACGGAGTGAATGATGATTGGTGGGACGCAGTGTTCGTCAGTCTGTCTGTCCATTTGTTCTTGCGTGCGCCTATCTGTGTGATCCTTGGTGCATCCGTCCGTGTGTTTATTCGTCTGTCTGTCCGTCCATCTCTTTTTGCGGCCATCCCTCTGTCTGTCCGTCTGTGCGTGTGTCAGTCTGTTCGTCCGTCCATATGTCTAGTGAAAACTCCAAGCACAGCCATCTCGCATCTTTTCATCATGTATTCATCATATACAAGTGCCCCCATCCATGTAAGGACCGCTATTTCGGGTATGTGCCACTGGTGGTTACGTACTACGAGGGACGCACAAGCCACGCCATAAGGAGCTTCGCCCCTAAAAAATGAGACACACACAAGAGTTCTCGTGTGTCTCTATCTTGTCCTTGTCTTCTGTGCGCACTAAAAAAAAGTGAAGATATATAAAGGCATCACTCTTTGTTTCTTCTACAGTGGAATTCATCGCAAAGTTGTGCACTTTATTCCTGCTTACAGTTTTCCCGATTTTGATTGAGGCAAAAGCAACCGTGTACGCTTGTATACCGTGTATATGTTGAGGAATCTGGTGGTTGAGAAAGGCAATGTCTGTCACAATGGACCATTTGCGAGAATCTGCAAGGCGGCTTTCTTGCAAGGTTGTTTTTTTTTTCTCACTTTTCTCGCTCACTGACAGGAACGACAGGTGCTTCGTCCACCATGCAATGGCTGACGGTTTGTACGAGGCGGGACAGCCTCATAGTAGTTAGTGGAGAAAAAAGTCGGTTTGTGGTACTGGCGTGCCTTCGCTATAATTATGAGCCATAAAAGCACAACCAGCGAGAAAAGCAGTCTGTGAAGGAGAGTTCTTATTTGAAAAAACAACCTTGCAGAAAGGCCGCCTTGCAGATTTTTGCAAATGGTCCATTGCATATCTTTCACAATAACACAGCATTGCTTTGGGATGAAAAAAAAAAAAAACACTGTAGATGTGTTAAGTGTTCAGTTGTTCTTGGATATCCCTGTGCAGCCTGCCCAACAGGTGAAGGAGATACGCAAGCTGTGGGAGCACATCAACGACGAGGAACAAGAAAACTCCGAGCTGCGCCACGAGGGCTCTAGGCTCAAAGAAGTTGTCAAGCGGAAAGGTATGGTAAAAAATTTTCCTGTCTGTGTACAGTGTTCAATACTTGGCTGATTCAGCAAAAGCATTTCTTCGGTTCATCTTTCAGCCACAACGGAAGTTTTCATGTCTTCAAAAAGGTCCCTCGCGACAGTGTGAAATGCTTAACCTGTGGCTTTAGAAAGCATCTTCCAGCTATTATGCGACCACTCTCGACCTTCTTTGACCTTTTTGCACCTCAAGTTATTAATTTTTTAGCATACCGCTTCTTTTCTTTTTTGTTCTCAATGTTTTCTACGATGCCGCGAGCCATTGAACAATGCAACCAATCTTTCATATGGCTTCTGCATTGTAACCTGGAAACATTTAAGACTTCAATTGGGGCTTACATATAAACAACCTACTGCCTTGATATTTTATAAACCAACCACCAATCGCCAGTTGTACCATCTGGTACGCAGAAGTGCTGTAGACTGGAGAGTCCCTTCTCGTTCTATGCATGGCTGCAGCACCCAGCCTCATCCAGCTAAAGCTAGGAACCGTGATTAGGTTGCCTAAACATTTTCATACGATAACATTAAAGTGCACACTGAAAGAAACACCAGTCTCTGCAAAATCTGAAGGCAATGGCCGCTTTTTTACAGGGCTGTTTCTGGAAGCTTCGTTAGTTCAGGTTTTGGGGTCTAGCTAGTTTGCTAGTTTGATTTGATAGCACTGCAAAATATGCATATTTGCTGCGTAATTGAAATTTTTTTCATTATATTGTGAACTTCCTAAATTTGGAGCTTGTTAGATCAAATTTTAACTGCATTTTTTTCTGTATTGAGTACTATATATTAAAGGGACACCAAAGTCAAATTACAATTTACTTCAGAGTGAAAGATCAATGTATGACAACACCTAAAACGACAATATTATCAACAACAGTGCCCTACTTACCGAGAAATTAAGGTAAATGCACAAGAACACAAGCGCCTCAGTAGGGCATTTTTAAAACGGTCCCAATGACATCAGGCGGACCGGCAAAAATTAATCAGCTAGTAATCGATCTAACTGCACTAAATAAAGAACTTTTCATGCATCAAGAGATGCAATGAAATGCGGCTTGTTCATTTCTGTTTGATTCATAAAAAAAAAAAAAAGAAGAAGAACCGCCAGACGTTACTATGGCGAATTGCGCGAGTGGTTCGAAAATTCAATGTTCACGTGGTTACACGGGACGGGTGGGGCCATCTAGCAGGGCGCAGTTGAAACAAAAGTGTCTACAATCTCCGAGCCAATGGAGGGAAATTCGATTAACGATCGTTTTTGCTGCTGTGGCTTCTACTGCTTTCGGTCTGCTGCTACTAGCGCAGTAAAGCCGGACAACGTTGTGCATGGCAATAGTGACGTGAGACGGACCGGTCGGTCCGCTTCTTGGGGCGGGTAATTTGAATGTGCGCTAACTCAATGCGGACCACTAAAACGTGATTTTATTTCAAAATAGGCCATTCCTCAGCACGAAATTAACGCTACAATGTTTCTGGACCACCATTTCAACAATCAACGTCGACTTAATAGTTTACTTTAGTGTCCCTTTAAGCTTTGTTTTTGTCTCCTGGTGTTTTGTTGTCATATCCTGTATAACATTGTGCTACTGTTTCCTCCGTAAATTCTTTGTCACAGGATGGAGCGCATATGAAACTTCATCCTGGGACGCCTGTGAACTGTCTTGAAAGCAGTATTCAATTTCCTATGGTATGTCAAAATGAATTGGTGTGGGCAGATAAAGACAAGAACACTGATAAGATGGGACAGGGACAAGTGCAAACTACACACACGTTTAGCATGTCCTTGGATCGGTAACGCCGTACCGAACAGCCCCAGAACTTCTGCGAGTACCACTGGTGTATGTGTGGACTTGTGCCCGCAGAAGTTTTAGGGCTGTTTGGTACGGCGTTACCGACCCCAGTACATGTTGAACGTGTGTGCCGTTTGCACATGTCTCTGTCCTGTCTTATCTGTGTCCTTGTCTTTATTTGCGCACACCAGTTTACTTTGAAGCATGAACCAACTCGCTCAGCTGTCAGGTTTACTAAACCACAATCCTATGGTATGGCTTATGCTTTTTATTTACTTCAATTGTGTGTTCAAAATGCTTGTTTGCAAGGAATGTTGGGTTTGCTAACGTATTTCTCTGAGTGAGATTTGAATCCCAGTTTCTCTTGTTGTTCGAATGTAATTTTGATGTTGTTTTAATGCATCATAACCCAGCACTTCATTGAAGCAGTTAACTAGAATTCCAGGATTGTTTTTTGTTTGTGGCGTACATCATCCTGGCTAGTCACCATGCTTTTACTGCATATTCTTCACAACTTTATAACAGGTCTTCTTGCAATGTGTGGAAGGTGCATAAATGCACAGAACATTAAAGGCCACAAAGTTCAAGTTCTGAAGCCCTGAATCAATACTACTCTGCTACTTCGACATGCACAGACTCTTTTTCATACATTTTTTTTTCCTTACCTCTAGATCGAGAGATCGCCAGCCTCAAGGAGAGGCTCAAAGCTCTTCAGGAGATGTCGTCCAGTGATGCTACATGCCTTGCTGCATTACACAAAAATGTGGAAGAGTAAGGCATCTTCTTACTCTTCGAGTTTTGTTTTATGTGCTCATTAGGAAACAACTTTGCTCATTAGGAAACAACAAACAAGGACTGAAAAGAAAAACACGATCAGCGCTCGTCCTGTCCACTCTTCCTTTCGGTCTTTGTTTGTTGGTGCTGCAAAGTTGTTTCCCAATGTCTTACAAACTGGCCCAAGCTTCCGTGCTTCTATGTTTAGTGAGTGCTCATACAGTGCAGCTTGCCATTGAAGGCAATAACGAATGCAAAGTTTGTGCAGATTTTCTACCCTGACAATTACAACGGCTCCACTTTGCAAGAGATGGCTTACAGTTGCACTCGGAACCTCATTGTAACAAAGTTGTGTCAGACATGAAAATAACTTCGTGGTAACCGGAAATTTGTTATAAAGGTGTATTCACTAACACTCTATCCAATGCAAGCCTATTCTTAATTCACTTCATTATAATAGATATTTTCTTATATCGGAGTTAATTATATCGAGGTTTGTGTGTAACTGCCTTTGCACCAATTATTTGTGTTTGATTTCGCATTCAGTGTACAGTAATGCGATTGCTGCACTGATTAGGCTACCCTGCAAAAGGAGGTGATACCTGCTTCATCCCAATACACTATGGCAAACATCTCTTAATTTTCTCTGAGCATGTGCCAGGCAGCAGTTTTACAATCTCTCAGAGAATAAAATAAAAAGATGGGAGGTTCTCAAAATACGTACTCAAATTACCTGCTCTAAATTTTTGGTGGTTGTTCGAGCTGTAGGGTGAGAGAAGTAATGTTTAAAGAAATCGCTCAAGGCCATCAACTTCATGCTTATCTGAAGACATTATTCAAGCGAGCTAATGGTGATTAGCTGGTGCCATATTACCCAATTCTAACGTGCACCCATTCTCCTTGACCAAAAAGAAAAAGTTAGAAAGTGTACACCCACTTTAACGTGCTTGTGATTTCTACGTACTAACAGTGGCAACCAGAGATCGTATCAATGCGCGCGGACCTTCGTGTGCCTCTGCCACATGCCAGCGTGGAGACAGCATTTTCTGCATGAAAGTTAGTTTCAGCGGTCTTGCGTACAAAAGGTGCGCTAGATGACTGACTGCATCTGAGATCGTGCTCGCTCCTTTGATACAAATCGTCGAGCCCACTCAAGATATTCCCAATTCCCTTTTCAGAACATTATATTGAGAACGGCACTAGTTTGCACTCATTTTTACAAATTTGTGGTACAGCTGGTTGTGATCCTCGGCTGCGAATAATGTCCTTTACCTCTGTCCCACTGAAGAAAAGTGCAAGTACCTACACTCTTGTAAAAAGATCGAGTAAAAAAGTGTCTCTTTGTCCCACAGCAGTAATTGTCATCCGGCTTGCTTGCGCTTCTTTTCCTGAAAAGTCTATGCTGGCCACTTTTCTATCAAGAAAGCTATGTCACGCTGATAATGAGCATGTCGTTCGTGACCTTAAAGTGCCATGCAAGCAGTGGTAGAGGTAGGCAAAGGAACTCGAGAATGATGACTGTTATTGTTGCGGGACAAAAAGACACTCTTTTTACTCAATCTTTTATTTAAGTGTAACTGTTCAACAGATCCAATGTTTTTATCATTAAAGTACCATAAAATTTTTGCATACAGTGAAATAACAATAATGAACTGGTGCAGAACACTTTATTTTTTCAGGAAAATAAACAGAATGGAACTTTTTGCAATGAAACGAAACAATAACCAAACGAAAAACATTTTGTTCCGACACTTTTCCCCGTGCCATTCTTCCCTGCTTAGATTCCAGTGCATTCGGCTTAACAAGAGGAGAGGAAAATCCATTACAACGTACGACAATTGTTTATAACTCTGCTCATGCTGGACAGATTATAAAAAAAATTCTGCAGTGGAGAATTCGTGCGGCAATAAGTTCCTTTAGTGAATTCATTCCATGGCTACTTGAAAAGTCTTGCAGAGCCCTTTAAACACGGCAAAAGCGCTTTCACTTAGGGACCTATAAAAAGTTTTAGGAAATGTGCATCAGGCAATTGCTCCAAAAGGCTGATTTGCTGCCTTGAAGTGGTTTGAATCAATCGCATCACTGAGTGTGCTGTGAATTTGTTTTAGCTGCCACTTGGGACTAGAGCAACAGCAAAGTTGTAGCCGCACATCAGTAGTGGCAGACTGCGTTGTAAAGTCTCAGTATATCAGAATGTGCCAATTGGAGATAAGTGATGCGTGTGCTTTTGTTTCTAGCTGCCTTCAATTAGTGTCATGTAGGTGTGATTTTGACTCGGACATTTGCATAACATGAAAGCTTGGCTTTAGCGGCTAGTTTCGTGGTAACAGGATGCTGTTGTGTCATGCTATTGCGTATGTCTGTCGTTTTGATTTGATAGCATTTTGATTGGCAAGGACTGCACATTCCTTGAAGGCCATGTAGGCATCCTTGAAAGCTAGCATGCTTGCAGAAACTTAATGTGTGACAACGTTTGCTTAAAGTATATAATGAGATCTCTGCCTCTGGCTTTCTGCAAAAACGGATGTGGGCCTAGTCCGACGCAAGTGTTTATTGGCTAAGCTTATTTGTAACCCAACACTAAATTAACTACTGCCACTGACTGTTCAATCATACTGTTCTTCAAGGATGTCTGCACAGAACAAGCTTCTCCAGGAACAAGTTCATTCCTTCGAAAAGGTCAGGGATGATTACGACAGAGTCATCAGACAGAATGCCTCACTACAGGCCGAGGTAAGTGTTTCGAAACACCCCTCATCCCACTGTGTATGCCAATGTCCTGTTCCACATGCCAGGTTTGTTAGGGTTATTATATTTCACCTTATTCTTCTTTCATACCCATGATTCATACCAGCATGGTTTTTCATAAATGGTGGAAGACCGTTTTTTATCAGTCATCTGAAAATGCTTCTTCTATGTCAAATTCATTCTATTTTGGGGACTATCGGATTCCTATTAACTTTTGTCTAAAAATTCACTGTTCACTCGTGTCGACGAAAATGTTTATTTGACACGGTGTACAAGGCGCCTGTGAGAAATGGAGTATTTTTCATCTATATCTAGCTGCCATAGCGAGATGGTAAAATTTCAGTACCCTTAAACCTCAATATAGCGAGCCCAGATAAAATGAAATATCAGCGATAATGAAGCAAATGAAAAATAGTCGTGTAATAGACATTGCGTTAGGAAAAAACCTTATAACAAACTTTCCCGATATGACAAACTTATTTTTTTTTTTTAAGATGCAACTTAGCTCTAATGAGGTTTGAGTGTATCTGCGGTATGGCTACTAGCTGGAAGTAAATGTTGCTTTGCTCATTTGCTGTTGCAAAGTTTGAGATGTACAATGCTTTCCCTTTAATAATTTTGTTAAACTTTTCTGCACAAACAGGTCTTTGATCTATTTGCTTGATAATGCTTAGCATGTTTTTTTCTTTTTTTCCTATCTGTCATTGAATTTTTTTTATTGCTTGCATATGAACTATGAACAGTCTTTAGTCAGAACAAAACGCAGTGTAGTTTATTTTTCCTCCAATATAAATGCAGTAACAACAGTGTATGGCTTCCGACTAAACTTGTTCTCCGTGAAGGAACTCGCCATTATCACATACGTTAAGCCGAAGTAATACTAGGCAGACTTCAAATAGAGCATGCATACCTACTGTATAATTTATTGAAAGTTTCATCAACTTCAAAAACTAGTGCACATTTTAATTACATATTCGCACATTGTAAAGTAACAGATATGAAATGCTAAACTTTCTAGATTAAACTGTTTTCTAAAAGACTCCGTGATGCTGCTTTTGCTGCTTTTGATGTCAATTTTTCTATTAAATTGTGGCTGGCACATCATTTTTCAAGTCTTTTGTACTACCAACTTTGATATAACCAATTATCGCGGAATACAAACAGCGTGATTTTTTTCACGCGGGAACGAAATCATAAACAGCTTGTCCATGTCGTCTACTTTTGTCCCCAGGTGAAAAAAGAAATATCCTCTGCTTCCATTCATCCAAAACCAAATAGCCCAAAGCTTCATTTTACCAGTACACTCGAACCTTGCTATAACAAAATATTGGTTATAACAAAGTAAAGGAAAATTAGCCCTTTCAGTTGATATAGTGTTAGGAATGTACCTTTATAGCGAATTTTTAGATATAACGAACTTATTTTTGTGCAAGATACAACTTCGTTACAATGTGGTTCTAGTGTATTGCTGCAAGGTTATTTTCATACTTATGAGTTACTCTGAAATCTCGCCAACCCAGTGCGAGAAAATGTCTGTGATCCAAGAGGAATGCAACAACCTGAGAGAGGACCTGTCCAAAGCCTTGTCGGAGAAGTCTGACCTCTGCACCAAGCTTGCTTCTCTTGAAGACTTGGTTGGTGAGCTTCGTTCTGCGATTGACTTGAAGAACAAAGAGCTGGACGACATGGTCAGCTTCTACTCAAACTTGGAGAAACCAGGCAGTCCCAAGGTCTTGGCACCATCACCTGGCGCCCGCGTCAGCTGCTACACAGAGCTACGCATGGTTGAGCTGCAGGACACTAACAACAAGCTGCGCCAGGAGTCGGATCGACTACAGGCGAGTTCAGCGTTGCTTTGTTAGCGCAAATATGTTTTCTTCCTCTAAGTCGCCATGTATGCCTAATGTCCCCAATTATACATACTATTTCCATGCAACTTTTAAAAAACTGCCCTGAAATTTTGCGCTAACGAAATGAATAGTTTAGTAGTGGGTCTCTAGCAGGCAACATTTGTTTCATCAGTGCTAAAAACAATGGCCAACTAGCAATGTTAATGCCTTCTGAAGCATCGCATGCTTCATGCTATCAGTGCGAAAGCGCAAAACACCTGCCATCTTTCTTGGCTATCTTGTTCTTTCTCATAGTACATTGAAACCAAGTTTTTCAGTTCTTCGCCCATTTAATAAACAAAACTGCTGCTTCTTAAAATCATCAGTTTGGCGTGTCTGCCATGTTATTTAACGTTTTTGTTTACAGAATGAACTGGAAGAGTTGACGGCCAGGCTCCAAACGGAAGGCAATGCGATGAGGGCCTCGGCAGTGCAGCTGGAGGAGACAAACGCCACCCTTACGGCAGATGTTTCTCAGCTTAAGAACCGCTGCACGCAACTCAACGTTCGCATTTCTGGTTTGGAGAACGAGCTACAGCTGTCGAAGACCACGGCGGCCACGCTTGAGTCTCGGCTTTCCATTCAGGTGAGCCAGTCCGAAACGCTCCGTCAGCAGCTCGCCGACAGGGACCAGCAGATCACTGCACTCGAAGAGAAAGCCACCGCTTCAGATTCCATAAACCAAGAGCTGCTCAAGTCCAACACCGAACTTAACACTGCCTTACGATTGTCGGAGTTTGAGAAAAGTGCACAGGCTGAGAGAATGCGCGAAGTGATTGCAGAGAAACAAAAGCAGCAAGAATCCCTAACTCGACAGAACTCGAAGGTTCTCGCTCTGGAAGCAACGCTCGCTAATCTGGAGGCCAAGCTTGCAGAAGTGACATGCCAACTGCTGGCCAGTAAGGAAGAAAAATCAAAATTGCAGCAAGTTGTTACCACGCTGCACTTCCAATTGGAAACGAGCCGGTCTCAATGCGCAGAGCTGGAACAGCAGTTAAATAAATCTAAGCATGAGAAGGAGGCCCAGTCTACTAAGCTCCTAGACCTGCAAAAAGAGCTCGAGGACGTCATGAGCACGACTGACTGCCTTCGAGTCAGAGTTCAAGAGCTTGAAGCTTCTAAGCAACAGCTGGACGTGCTCTGCTCCGAGCTTCAGCACAGCCTCAGTGAAAAGGAGTGTCAGGTTAGTGTGGCTGCTGAGGAAAATAGAGCACTGTTGAAGATAAAGGAACAACTTGAAGTGGCACACTCTGCCTTGAGTTCTCAGTTAAATGAGGAAAGAAAGCAGCATGCCGAACTTGAGTCTTCGCTGCAGAGCCAGGTAGAAGAGTCAAAGGTCCTGGCTGCCAGACTGCAGGAAGAAAAGAAGGCTCTTGCTGAGAGTTCGACGAAGCTCAAATCCGAGGTGGAGCTACTTCAGTCGGAACTCTCGAAGTTGCGTGAAAAAAACACCACACTTTCGAACGAGCTGTTGGAGCTTGCTCGTTCTCGTGAGGAGCTTAACGACCGCCTCCTTTCACAAAATGGACAACTCGAGAAGGTCACCGCAGAATGTACAAGGCTTCAAGAGTGCTTCGACCAGAGCATGTCTGAAAAAGCTACACGCGAGGCTCACTTGGCGCTGCAAGCCTGAGCGTATACTTTTGCTGGAAAAAGAATGTGCCGAGCAAGCTGCTACGAACGAAAACCTGGAAAGTGAAAATGCGGTGCTGAAGGCTACTCGCGAAGAAGAAGAGACTAAAACTGAGCAACTCAAAGCCAGCCTTGAAGAGGCGAACAATGAGAACCTTACACTACGGAAGGACCTCAAAGAGACTCGGCAGAAGCTTGACGCATCCCTAAACGAGAAGAAAATGCTGGAAACGAAGCTGTCTGAGAAAAATGCTTTCTGCAGCGCTCTTCAGGAGCAGGTTTCGGAGGTCGAAGCGAAGCTACGTGATTCTAAGAAGCAAGAAGAAACTCTTGAGCACGCCAATGCCAGTCTGGACTCGTTCGTCACCGAGTGCAAGCATAAATTGCAGGCCAGTGAGTCACGGCTTGGAGAGGCTAGCAAAAGGATATGTTCTCTGCAAGAGCAGGTGTCCTTCTTCCAAGAGGCAGTCATGAGGGTCAACCTCGAGAAAGAATGCTTGCACTCGTCCCTCGCGAGCGCAGAAACGGCCTTGCGCTCGCTCGAGACCACATACCGGGCCTCCACCAGTTCCGTCGAGGAAACGAGATTGAAGCTTCAAGAAAGCCTGCACCGGCAGAAGCAGCTCTCCTCGCTTGTTCAGCAGCATCAGGAGGAATGCAAAAGCCTTAAGATGGTTCTTGCCGACATGAGTGAGAAACTATCGTGCCGCGAGAAGGAGCTAGCATCAGCAGCTGTCGTGAGGGGCAACATGGCCTCGCAAATAAAGGAGCTTGAGGATGAGCACGCTCGTCTCAGGCATGAAAACCAAGCTCTGGAAGATCACATAGGTGAGGGGAAAGTTATCAGTTTTTAAATATTTTTGGTTGTTTCTCTGAAAAAAAAAAAATATGAGTGTCAAGAACTCTAAGAAGTGTAAATGTGCTTACGAATGCATTGAATGTTTTTTAACACCACTAACATAAACTGCAATTTTGGTTTCGGTATCAAGGGGGCAGATTCACAGGGACATGTCAACACGTCTGACGTCACAGGAACTCCGCAACTCGCAACGTACTAACGACAGCTGTCATTTTGCTGTCAGTAGTGTGTGGTCTACTCGAGTGAATTGTCATCAAGAGGTTTTGGCAGTAATTTCTGTGATTTAGGCTCAATGCAGGACACAGATTGAGCAAACTCGGTAAACTGTGTTGCCTTGTTATGAAAATATCCATTGTAGTGGGACTAGGCCTGCAGATGCTGGCTGACATAAACTTTAAAATCAAAGTAAAATATTTTATACATGTCTGGCTGTGGTGTTCAGAGAGCATTGGTAGTACACGGGAACGCAAAATGTCAATTTTTGGGGCGCTACATTCAAAGGGTCCGTAAACATCCTCGAGGTCCAGAAATGGTAATGAAGGGATGTGTGCTCTTTTACCGTATAAACATGGTGCCGCAAATATGTGCTATAATGAGGAAAGTGGCGGGGTTAGGACATCCATTTGGAGTAGTTTGAAATTTTTGCGCACCTTCCGGCCCACTTCAACTACGTGACACCATGTTAGTTAGTGATACGTTGTCAGCACGCAGCCAACGACCGACCAGGGCTTACCCACATGAGCACGTGTCAGAGCAGTGCGAGAAGGAAGCGGGGTGCAAAAAGCCCCTTCCCGCTAGTGGTAAAGTAGCGAGACTCGTCTTTACCTCTAAGGCTCTGGCTCTGGCATGCCGCTCCTCCTGGTAGTCTCGGACTCTACAAAACGGCAGAGGGCAGCACAGGAAAATGAAAATGCAGACTGCGCGGCGGAAACTGAATCGCCGCTGTCCCGTGCCGCTTTTTAGGGCAAAAGACCAATAGAGGAGCTCAGTAATCTAAGTTGCCCATGGGAATGCTTGCATAACTGCGCATACAAAGGCGACTTGTCTGGCACAGGAATTGTTTTTTTGAAATGAAGGATCCGCACAGCACGCAGCACTATATTTGGGAAATGTGATCGCTGCGGTCTACAGCAGAAATTGGCGAGCTTCTTCCGGTGGTTTAAAAAAAGTCAAAGCCTGTTTACTGGTCCTTTAACTGAGCAGCATTTGTTGAGAGGTGCAGGTGTTGTTTAATGGCACAAAATATATTCACATTGAGAAAACTATTCCTTCAATATCCGCCTCCTTAATTTTAAATTTTCCGAATGGTGCGTTAAAACATCCCATTCTAATAACCAGTTTAATGTTGCGAATCTCATGCAATAACATGTTTAGGTAATGTCATGTGCTAATACCACGATTGATGCTGTAGTGGACTGTTTTACAAATAACCACTACCTGGGTTCAACCAAATCCAACTAAATCTAAGTAACTTCAACTAAATCAAAAAAAAATCTCTCTAAAAAGTTTGAGGGCCAGCAGGTGAAAACTGATCCAGAAACCTCTATGTCGAAATCTCATTGCTTTGTGTTGTTTTGTGTTGCTTTGCAACATTAAAATCGCTCAATTGTTTACCGAAATCGCTTTTCTGTCTGTACCACAGACACAGTGTAAATATGCCATAATTCTAAGGTGGTATTGGTGCGTTTGTAGAGCAGAAGAATGTCTGCCAAACATTTAAAATGATAAGGGCAATTTCGAAGGGAATTACAACATGTGCAGCAGCGAATTCGAACGTGGCAAGATAAGCATTATAGGTAGAAGTTGAAAGATAATGCACATCTGATACTAGAATCTTATCTGTATATCAACGAGAGTGCCTTTTTTGTGTATTGGCCTCTACAGTGTCGTTTGTCTGCTCTTGCATGCGCACTTTCTAGCCGTGTTTTTCTACTTTAGTGTCCCTTGCCAGTTACTATGGAGCCCCTTTGTTATGCTACTACACCCTAATAATGCCTAAGCTGGAATATACATGCATAGTTCGGGATCTGAACACAAAAAATAATGTCGACCGTCTTGAGAAAGTGCAGAGTGCAGTAAAAAGCATTCATATTTGTGAACCAAGTCTTCAATCTGAGATGCCTCCCCCCACCAAACTCCTGAAAACTAACATTAACCACTCAAGTGTAGAAGACCGCAGCAGAAACTAGATTTATCTAAACTGCTTTAGACTAGTAGTTAATCCTCAGACACATTTGAATATTTAATGAAGCTAATAACCAGAACTACACGCCACCATAGACATGGTGCACTAACATTTTTTTTTTTTTGCTAGGACAAGCGTCATGTTTTTTCTCTCTCGTTGTAAATGAATGCAAATGTATCATCGAATTGACATCGTCATATTGTATTTACATAGTTTTGTTCTGTTTTTCCAAGTGTATTCACCATATTGGTCACCTTCCCCGTGTGAACTGTGTGTCCACAGGACTTAATATTTTCTTTTTAATTGAAATAAACGACGAGTCCGCACTTATCTTGCATATCCCAAATCGATGTGCACAATAACTTGCACCACCTGCGATCCCAGATTGCACTGCGATGTTGAATGAATAACCTGAACGTAATCGAATCCACTTCTCGTTGAAAGAACCCAACACTATGCGCAGGCGACCTGGAGGTCAAGCTCACCAGCCAGCTTGAACTTCATAAGAAAACAGAGGAAGATTATTACAAGTGCATCAACGACCGGGACAGCCACAAGGAAGCCCTGAAGCAGCGAATAGAAGAGCTCACCGCGGAGTTGGCGGGAAAGGCGAAGCTACAAGCCCAGTTAGAAGAGCTGCAGAGCGAGCTTGAGGAATGCAAAACCTCGGCTGCTGCAAACGACGTGCTGTCCGAGGAGAGAGAACATCTCGAGCTCGAGCTTGCTAGTGGTCAGAGGGAGCTCCGAAGCGTGACTGAGGAACGTGACGAGTTGAACCGCAAAGTCGAGATGCTGGAGAAAGAGAACGAAGCTCTCAAGCTCGAGCTCAAGGTGAGTTATTTACCTAGGGCTATACTCGACAAGGGCTACACTCTAACGTTGTCATAACGAACCCAGATATAACGAAATACTGGTTATGACAAAGTAAATGAAGAATAGTCTTGCAATAGATGCACTGTAAGGGATAACCTTTATAGCAAATTTTCGGATATAAGTAACCTATTTTCGTGTAAGATGCAACTTTTTTATATTGAGGTTTGAGTGTAGCTGGTACATCATAGGGAGAGAAAATTCTAGACACCTAAAACATAAGAAGAATGAAGAAGGACCCTCTTTTTCTGCGATTCTTCGTTCTCGTGTTTTAGGCGTCAAGAATTTTCTCTCATCGAGTCGCTTATCTGCACCTTCCGCATTTTAGTTCACAGGAAGGACACCGGGAGTAGCGCCTGTATCTGAAATCGATGGAGCCATACTCAGCAATGACTTTTCTTGACAGTTTGTGGAAGCCACAGAACCTGAAGCGCATGCCTTCTGCCGCATCAAAAATACTACTTGATTTCCCTAATAATTTTCTCCTGCGTTTTTCCTAAACAAGTGCCACTTTATTCATTATGATGTTCAAAAAGTTGTGGGAAGTCGTATGCGAAACGGTTTCTGTTCACTTTGCAGGAATGCGGTCGTTTTCTTTCCATTTTTTAGACCCTTTTCAGCACCTTTTCAGCATTTTTGTTTTCCAATGTAAGCGTAGCGTCCATGACGAAGTGGGTCACTGGGCGGCCACAAGCGCGCTGTTTAGTTCTTTAGGAAAAATGTACTAGTAACATGACACTAAAGCGTACACTCAACAATGGAAATGCTTCTCCCATTAACGTTTTCGTGTGTATAGTTTTTTAAATGTCTGTCGTAGGGGATCAGTGACTACGGTGCTCTGCTGCTAGCCCGAAGGTTGCAGGTTCGATCTCGGCCGCGGCGGTCGCATTTCAAATGGGTGAAATGATCGAGGCCCGTGTGCTATGCGATGTCAGTGCACGTTAGAGAACACCAGATGGCCACAATTTCCGGAGCCCTCCACTTCGATGTCTCTCATAATCATGTGGTGGTTTTGGCACTTAAAACTGTGTATATTATTATTAATTTTCTAAACACGTTAACGATACGAGCGAGCAAAGCTATAATCAGGCCGCAAGCTGCCAAACGACTTTCTGAGCAACACGAATGTGTGGAGACCCTACCTCCATAACATTTGCTCCACTGTCAAGATAAGTTGTTGCCGAGTGTAGTCAACAGAGTGTATGCTGTCTCAAAACAAAACACACCCCCCCCCCCCCCCCCCCTCCACGGCACCCCTGTTGTTTTGTCGCTTGCAAAAACCTACAAGACCCTTTCGCAGTTCATAAGTACACAAATGTGTGCAAATGTGTTTTTGATAGTTGTGTCAACCAGGCATGAGAATGAGGCAAAACATATCGAGATTTAGATGAACCTCTCTCAAAATGAATGTCTTAATTCACATTAGTTTTGCAGCGTACTGTTGCATATGATCAGTTTGCCGAAGGAACCATGTTCGATGAGTCACTTTATTTGCCACTTTCCACAAGCCATATCAAGAGCATAATTTTTATTTGCTCCTAATGACTATAGTGGATAGTGCAATTTGACTATATTTCTATCCTAAGATTTGATTTGGCTTATTCAAAAACATTAGGATTATCTATTGTAATGCAATGAAATTCTAGTTCTAATAGCAATTAGATATTTATCTAATTGCTATAGATCAATGTATTGTGAGGTTAGGAACATGACAGCATAAAAGAGCTCATTTTGCAGAAATGCTGGTGTTGGCATCATTAGTTGTGTGCGAAAAAGTCGTCTTTTCCATCACCGAAAAATTTAGCAAGATGCATATAAAATAAAGAAAAAAATTTCTTGTCCAGGTTAGGATTAAATCCAGACCGTCTTGCGTGGCAATCAGGTGTTCTACAACAGAACCACAATATCTGTTGAAATTTCTTCGAGAAAAAAACATTATATCCTGTGTAAATGCCTTTCAAGGTGTGAATTACGGTACTTTCTTTGCATCTTTTGTAGTCTGAAAACGAAGAGTGTACCAGGAAGATGCAGGCTGCGTTTGCATCCATCGCGGCTGCGACAGGCAAGAAGAATGAAGAGATGAAAAAGAAGATTGAAGAGATGGGCAAGTCCAGCTTGGTCGCAAAGAAGGAGGCTGATATGTGGAAAGATAAATTCCACCACCAGCAAGCTCTTCGAGAGCGTCGAGAGCAGCTGTAAGCATGGCTACACTGTGGGGATTTTAAGTACTTCATTCTGAGTAACTGTCGTCCTTCTATGGACAATTCTTATTTTATTGATGCGTATTGTCCTGGGGCTATTGCCCAAACTGTCAGTTTTGTGCACAGACATGAAATTATGCTTCTGTAATGTGGTGATGCCACTGTAGAGTTGTTCAATGAATACAAATCAATTTGAACGGTGTGCACTTGTCGTTGGAAAATGCTGGCTGTTGACACTGGAAGAAGCAAATAATTTTCTAAGTCCTATGGCATTCATTTATATGTTTCTGCTGGCAAAGCATGGCATAGGCTCAAAATTGTAATAAGCGGATGTAAAGTATAAACCACAAATACTGCAATCATAGGGATGGGCGAATATTCAAGTGCTTGATTTATTCAAACGAATATTACAGTGTCCGAAATGAATGAATAGTCTAAATGTATACATGAAAGTTTTTTGTAAAGGTGGTTTCGCTGCAGCCTGGGGGTGCCATGCTGTGGAACTGCCATCCAGAAGAAATTCACATCGCCTCGAAGCAACGCTTCAAGGTTAAATGTACAATATACCGTCACCTTAATTATTTTTAAGTTTAAAAGCATGTTATATGAACCCATTTGCGTTGTGTATAGTAATTCCTAAAAGTTAACGTACCAGTTACAACTTGCACACTGCTGCTATGCAAATCTTCCTGCTATTTGAAGTTCAAATTCTGAAAAATTTTCTGCAGGTAAGTTGGGCCACAAAAAAATGCTAATTTTTCTTAATATGTGATGTGTACTATTTGAATGGAAATTATTCAACAAAATCACTGTCTGCTTCAAACCGTGAACTTAATATTTGCCGATCCCTAATAATTAGAAGGGTTATTCGAAAATATTTTGCGTGCGTCTCCGAAAGGGAATTGTGTGCAATTTCTTTCAGGGAGGCTGCAATCCTGTGGAAACTTTGTTAGTACACATATTCTGCAATGTCCTCACATGCAAACTCCATGACTAGTTAGAAGAAGTGTCCCTATCTAATTAGATGCACTTTTTATAGAGGGTTCCTGAAGTACTTTTTAAAGGACACAAAATGTCTTCAATGTTTTAGTTTTTGCCTCGGGAATCTAGAAAAAATATTTTGAATAAATACATTATTAAAGATGTCGCATAAATCTGTTGCACACTTTTTCTCCTTGATGAGGATGTGCTTGATATACACTAGGAGGGATGACATAGGGGAGAGACGCTGCATCTGTGCATGTCACAATTATAAGCGCACATCATGAGACAAGTTTACTCTCTTTTGGGTGATTTTAACGCATGCTAGCATTGCTACGGAGTAATTTTAGCTTGCTATGGAGTGCCAAACCTCATGCTAAGACATGTATGTCATCTAAATGCAGATTTTGAGTCATGCCAGCTATCAGCCAATAGCATCAAACTGCCATACGGCAAAATAAAGCTGGTGCCAGCAGCTCCAAGGAGTGTGAGGAAGGGCCTCTGTATTGAGCGGTTGCTTGAGAAAGTCGCCAATTCTCGCTTCCCTGGTACATTCTTCTTGCCGTGCGTTGCGTGGCTGCAAAATATCGTGAAGCTGTTCACAGCACATGTGCATTGGAATAGGATGAATGGTGTAGCCAGTGAAAAGCAGCATAAATCGCTTCTTACTCTGTACACGAGCACGACGTTATCAATGTCTCCTGGCGAGTTTGGTAAGATTGACAAGTTACATTACATCTGGCCACAGATCCCAAAGACACATTTCCCACAATAGTATAAAAGGCTCTGTACTGTTTGTTTTCTACTTCTTCTACACAGTAAAAAACGTGGCCTTACTATTCTACTGATATTTGTCACTGCTGTTTGACAATGATTTACACCTCCTGAAATCTTTGCCCTTGGAAAGCAATTTTCCTCTGATGGTACCGATGCTCTGAACGTTTTCTTGCAAGAGCCTCCTCAAACTTTGTTTTGAATGTGCTAAAAGTTGTTAAAACTTGATTGCGACTCTAATTTTATTGTAAAGTTCCTCATTTCAAATGCAGTATTTGTATATATTTTTTTGCCGATTGCTCTAGTCATAATTCTTGAGGAGTCATCGTGAGCAATGTCGTCTTTGGTTCCCCTCTTTCCAGCTTGAAGCAACACATTTCCGAGATGAAGGAGATGATTAAGCAGTCCACTGAGAACGTGGAGGCACTCAAGGCTCAGACAGAGGAGCAGTCCGTGCAGCTCGCTGCTACCACACAGGAGAGAGACAGGCTGGAGAGTGAGGTAAGGTTCTGGCGAAGCCCACTCTTTCACCTTAGTACAGTACTCTACACTGTAGAGGCACTAGAGTTTGTGGAGTTCATTAAGCATCTTTTTTTTTTTTCTGATCCTGAGAGGCATTAAAGTGTTATGACCTTCAAAACAACAATATACTCTCATTAATTGGAAGCTTAAGGAAAGTATGTTCCATTTAACAGGAGTTCCATTTATCAAGTCTACTGTGCAGCCCTGTCTACATCTGTGTAAAGCACCCAGCCTTGCTCTGTAAGACCACACCGTGCGCTGAGTGCAAGGTCTCGCGTGGTGTGCCCTGGAGCGTGTGCAGCCTAATAGACATGCAGGTCCTGCTGGACATGAGTGTTGACTTTTACGACTGCCCTTGTTTAACCGAAAATATGCGTGGCTTCAGTGCACTTGTGGCATCTCGATGACAAAGAATGACTCATTTAAGCTGGCAACGTGCAGTTGACACATTCAGAATGAAGATTGCACACATTCTGGCTGCTGTGAGATACGCTGTTATGGGAGAGTGTGATGACTTATTCTAATGCATGCATCGAGCAAGAGTAAGAGCTCTTCGCCAACATTGTTTTTGGAATAATACAGAAAGGCGGGCTAGTTGATTCAGCTGCAGTAGTGAATATTTTGCGCACACAGCATGAAGACAAACGAAAAATTTGCACGAAGGGCTGTTTCTGGTTCAGAACTGCATTAAGCCACTAAACTGCTGTTCCGAAGGCTTTGTGATCCAATTTATTAACGTATGTAGCAAAAACTAGTTGCCACCAAAACACAATGATAGCAGCAGGCTAATCTACCTTGAGTGCTTGTAAATTCCTTGCTTTATAAGAACTGATTATGTAAAATTTAAGAAATCTTACAAGTGCTTCTCAACTGTTCACCTGTGCAGCTTGCTGCCACAAAACAGGAGCGAGATAGGCTGGCGCAAGAGGTAAGTCTTTGACTAAACTTGTCTATTCGCTAAGGTGTTCCCTTCCAACCCTTTAATAGGTGTTGTTCAATATACTTACAGCCTCAGGGAGAGATGTGAGAAATACCGTACTTTATTAAAAATAAGCCTCCCGGTTACTGTTGGTGGAGCCCTTCGTGCAGGGCCCCACTGGCTATTGCAGCACGTTGGCCAGTTAGGTTTAAAGACAAGGTCATTGGCAGCTACATTTCTCACTGCAGAGCAACATTGCAGTTTTTTTTTTTTTTTTTTAAAGCCTAGAAGTCTTTAAAATTTAATGTGTCATCCACTGCTGCGAAAACTGGTCTGCACCTATTGGGCCAGGGGGAAAAACCTCGGCGCACCAAGCATTTCACATATATTGCATGTAAATATTTGCAGGGAATATTTGTGATGATGTTCTTCGGAAAAACCCATGACTGTAAACTCCCACAGTGTGCTAAATGTTTGCAGTCAGATGGTTATGGGGCTAATTAAACCCTAAGCTAGGACTTCTAAAATCTTTGTCAATGTTTTCAATGGCACAGGATTTTGGTGTTCTCTCATACTTGAGTCATTTCAAGTAAGCAGAGTGCAATAGTGAGCAATGCAGAAGGCTTCTACCGGTGCAGCATAATCTTCAGCCAATTGTCATTACTGTTAATCATCACAATTGAATGGGCTTTCACAATGAAGGGATGAACAGCATGACAGATCATTGTGGCCACGATCATCATTTTGTATCCAAATGTAAAACATGAGCAGTTCTTAAACAAATTTATTCGGGGGGTGGGGGTGAAGGGGACATTAAATTAGGCAAATGCTGCAAATTCAGAACTGCCGTTTGGTAATTCTCCTGGCACATTCATATTTGGTGCCTTGGTCGGACACACATCGCCTGCAATGTAAAAAGAGGTGTGCTCATAGCAGCTTCAGGACCTGTTGACGCTCTGTGCACAGCCAAGCTGACTGCTTGTAAGCCCTAGTGGTTGGCTCACTGCACTTTTTTTTTTTTATGGAAGCTGAAGAGAATTTTCATTGGGAACAAACCTAGAATATGTTTCTGCTTCTATCTAAGTCACGCTTTCTGCATGCGGAAATTCAGAGAAACCTCTTGTGCTGTCGTCGACACCTCTGTCCGAAACACTTGACTGCTGAAAGGCATAGAAAATGAAGGATGGAAAGCACAGCAGCTGCCGAGTACTAAGTGTCGGCCTGAATTCTGTTGCTTTGGTATCTCCGTGGCTTTTTTTTTTTTTTTGCTGACAATAAATACGGATTTGTACTGGCATGCCATGAAACTAAGATGGAAGTAAAGCCGGTGGCCTAGACAGTTAGCTTATCAAGGCTGCGAAGTCACTTCTGAAGCGACAGTGCTCATGGCTGCCCGCAAGGATGATGTCCACAACTTCTTTGCATCAGTTCTCCAATTCTGCACTCTGCGATATGTGTGCACAACTGTGCACATGCTTCTTGCCACGTTTCATCCCGACAAGATGTTCTTTAGTCTAGCCTATACCCAACACCACTTTCTTGTGCTGCAGAAGCGGTCACTCAACGCGCAGCTCAGTTACTGTGATGCCAAACTCCGGGAGAACGCAAAGCAAGCTGAGAAGGCACAGGACAAATTGGCGAATCAGTCGCTCTATTTGACGCCGAGCCTGGAGACTGTCTGGTCTCAACGCCGACTCTCGGAGAGGAACTCTCAAAGCTCCGTCACTTCTGAGGACTTCAAAGGTGCTTGTCCTGATCTGTTGTTGTATGTGGCATTGTGCAAGTACTCGGCACTATTCGATTTCAAGCTGTGCTGAGTACCCATATATAGAAATTTTTGTGATCCCTTTCCGATTCTAGATACCAGACGCAATGGTAATACTACAAAGTACTCGAGCTCTTATACCCAAAGTTTTCTTGGAGACCCCGACATTGCATGTTCCAGCTTTGCCTGTGTTGCTTCTCAGTATAGAAATCCCTACACTTTATTTGAGTTCTGCTGTATAAGCTGTGTTCAGCTTAGCAAGACAATTTAGTACTGTAAAGGCATCAACCAGCTGAAGCAAAATAATGTACACTCTCCCGAACACCCAGCCCATCTAAACATTTTTCTGTTTTTGTTTGTTAGCCACTACATGTTGTATTATGTTTCGTTGATGTTGCAAGAGAATCGACTGCTGATAGCACATGTCTCCATTTTCCTTTTCCAGTCCCTCTCTGCAAAGGCAACCGTAGACGGTAAGCTCGACATATTTTTCATTGCTGGGGTTACTTTGTGAAGCCCTTGTTTTCTCTTAAGTAAATTCCAAATGGAAAAGTAAGGTCAGCTGTGTTGGTAAAGTACAATTCAGCAACATCATAAAACTCTTTGCACAAACCTGGGTAAATCGTGAGATGCAAAAATTCAATGTGGATGGTGATTGTGCCCTAAAAATTTTACGAGCTCAAGCCTAGCTGATCTCCTTATTGGTACTAAGATAGGACTCGCATGGTTCATATCATCGAGGCATAGAAAGTATACCACTGTTCGTGTTGTGCACGCAGCTCAATTGAAATAATAATAATCACATTTGAAAGTTTTCGATGCAAGGTGTGGTGTACACGTATCCCGAAGGAGTACGGCCACCAGCGTGGGTCCGGTCTTAGCGAGCCGCAGGGCACGCGTTAACCGTCGCCGTGGCGAGAACACGATACTGCTCAAAGTCGCAACACCAAACGCAGTACAGCCCGTTGCAAAAGGCGCGGCGGGAAAGCAAATAGGCTTATCCACGCCACGGGCACAAAGTACTACACAGGGTGCCACGAGCACGTCTCCGCGGTAAAGGTGATCCACGGAGACACCGGAACCAAGGCCCGGTTGCTCGAGCGAGGGCAAAGGCGCTCGCGTTGGCTTCGAAGGGAGACGGGTCGGCGTAGCTAGGCCACGCACTAGGACACCGTACCACCCCTCGGCCGTGCGTACGCAGCGGGGCAACAAAAGGTGAGCATTCGCCTCAGGCGCGAGGCGCCGTCAGCGAAGTCCGACGAGCCCCGAGCGACGGGATTCGACGGACGGAAAAGATTGCGTGGCTCACCAGTTTGCTGTCCCGGAGAGTATCTGTCTCCCGCTCCCGACGCAGCGCGCGAAAACCTCTCTTGGGAGTCCCCGCGCGCGGCGCCACCGTCAACATCCGCTACCGGGTGAGGGAGTTAAACTGTCACTCCGCTCTCTCAGCGCGACAGACAGCAAAGGAGGGCAGACATGTCTGGACATGAGAACGGCAGAAAAGGCGGCAAAGCCCGCGCAAAGGCAGCGGGCTAGCCTCAATTCTCACTAAAGGAATGTCTCGATTGAGCAATAACTTCTTTAACTGTGTTCACTTATGGAAAAACCCAAGCAGTCACTACTTCCAGTGTCCAGAGAACACAGCAGTTTCAATGCTCAGTCTGTAATTGTCAAGTCGGAGATAGAAAATCAAACACAATCGTTCAGTGAATTTAGAGAACATCAAGCTACTATAGAAACAGTGAGGTCTATTGTGCTCTGTGGAGTCTAGGAACACACAGAGGCAGCAGACGCTGTCGGTTCGAACTAAAACAACACGTTTATTTAACTGCTTTTACAACGGCGATATTGTCAGCCGTATGAATGCATCATTAGTGATCATCGCGCTGAAAACGTTTACACAATAATCTAATTCACTCAAACGTAAGAACAAACACAAAGTAGGGCTAAGGCGCGATTACCAACGCTCGACTCACCGCGAGGGCCCACGGCAGACAATCCACAAGGCCATCCCTATGGATCACCGCGGCAGGCAACTGTTCGCGCCAGCTGGCACGCGCCGAAGAGACTCCAATTTTTTCTGGCTGCCCACCTAACCTCGCTCCTAGGCGTCACTCCTCACTGCTGGTGCTACTGCACAAACCATAATGATGATGATGGTGAAGATCGCATGCAAGCGCTGCATCACCTACTGCGCAGTGGCTGTTCACTAGAATGCGGCTTGTCCGCGAGATTCAACCACTCATTATATGCCGGTCAATACCCATCAATACTCAAGATAGCCAAAGTCACCCCTGTTTACAAAGAGGGAAATAGGTCCGATCTTTCTTGCTACCGCCCGATCTCTGTACTGAGTGTACTTAACAATATCTTTCGAAAAAATAATTTCGAAACGTATGCTTTCCTTTTTGAGCAAATATCATGTGTTATGTCCGCACCAACATGGCTTCCGGCTAAAGCGCTCTACAAGTACAGCAGTGCTCACACTAAGCCAAGTTTTAAATACTGCCCTCCAAGATAACAAATTCGCTGCAGTGGTTTTTCTGGACCTCAGAAAAGTGTTCGACACAGTAAATCATGACATCTTACTTTACAATTAAGTAGATATGGTTTTCGCAACACTATGTCGAATTTTTTCCAGAGTTACCTTCAAGGTCGACAACAAATGGTAATTATCAGTAACATTACTTCTTCTCTCTAGTCCATTCAAACAGGTGTGCCACAAGGTTTCGTATTAGGTCCGTTACTTTACTTGCTATACATAAATGACTTGCCTCTACTACTAACAACTGCCGAGATGCTTATGTATGCTGATGACACTGCCCTCATTAATACCGGCAAAAATCTGTCAGACATAGAAGAACAGATGAATACTGAACTAGCTAAGCTTGCCGATTGTTTACAGCTTACAGGCTTACCATCAATGCCAAAAAAACAAAGTATATGTTATTCCACTCCCGTACAAATCCTACTCCACATGATATACAACTCTACATCAATAATTGCTCCCTGGAATGTACTGATTCTATTACTTAATTGTACTGGTTCTATTCTTAATAGTACTGATTCTATTACTTATTAAATTGGCAGAGTCAAATAGAAGCAGCCAGCTCGAAACTAGCTTCGAGTTGTTATGTCCTTTTGCAAGCACGGGAATATTTTGACACTACAATTTTATGCACTTTGTATTTTGTTGTAGCTAACTGCCACCTTCTGTACTGCGTAGAGTCCTGGGGTACGACGTATGACTCTTATCTTGAGCCAATACGACAGCTGCAAAAACAGGGCTATACGTGCGATAACTTTCTCACCGTACTACGAACATAGCAAACCACTTTTCCTCTAGGTTAAAGATCTTACCATTTGATTTTGTGCGGGAACTAAAATTAGCTACATGTATTAACAGTGTCGTTAGGAACAATGAACCATTCCCAATTTCATTACTGTGTATTCCCCGACGCCAAATGAGGAACCAAACTTTTAACAACTTCAATATACCGCCCACAAAAAACGCCTATAGCGAACGTCTACTACAATATACCGGAGAGTGAAAGTTTAGAATGGCATACCGCGTTATATAAAGAATACCCAGAACTTTTCCAGATCATTGAAAAAATACTACTTTGAAGTCGCTTGCTGGATTTCGTGCCGACCGGCTTGTGCGCGCGCATGCTTTTCGCGCGCTTGGGATCTCCGGCGTCAGCATAGCTCTGGCCGACTGGGCTCGCCCTATGTCACCTCCTGCAGCCGACAACCTTCGTCGATAGTGTAGTAGCTCTGACCGACAGGACTTGCTCTACGCCATCTACCGACGCCAACAAGAGCTCTCGCAAGTGTGCCCCGTCCTCGGACTCCAGTGACCGTGCTTCCATCTTTCCTATCTCCTCAGTTTGTTGTCGCTTCTTCTGGCTTACCACCTCAGTCTCTTCCTCTTTTCTACACCTTTACTCCTACCCTTTTTATCCCTCCTCACCCCCATCTCTTGTGAGCTACTGTTGAGGTGTCGCTCACTGAAGCAGACAGTTACGGGGCTCACTTTTCTCTTCCTTTCGCTGTTAAGAATCACCTACAGTACTACTTTGAAGCAATTTTCTCTGCTTGAGTTGACTGATACTTTAGGTTGTAATTTTTCATTATGTATATATTGCCCTTTATGTGTTTAGTGTTTTCTTTGAAAGATGTTTCAGTACCCTTGTTCTCTTTATTAAGCCATATAAGAGAACTACTATTGATACTTGCAACTGCAAGTATCATTCTTCAGTTCTGTACGCCACTAATCACGAAATATTTGTGTTTACTACAAGTTGTGTACTTTCCCTTTTTTCTATGTTCAATCGAATTCAAGTGACTGTTGTTAGCAGATAAACATTACTTCTTGTATGATGATATCAAATTTGAATTGTTTACTTCTGTTTATTTTTAATTAGAACTATTACAGTTTCAGTTATGTATACTTTCAATGGGGCCCGCACAAGCCTTTGGCTATGGGACCATACAGTTTGTGCTTATTTTGTATAAGATATGAGTGCAATAAAGATCATTCATTCATTCATATGTGTGCGCTACGAGGTGCAAACGACTTTACAGGGAGTGATAGCACCCCCACAGCTTGAAAGAGTCTACGTCTATTCATTCTTGTCAAACCAGCAACAAAGTAACTAGTAACTATTGTAACCAGCAAAGTAACTATTGTTATTCTAATTTAACCAATATTGTTCTATGCTTTATTTTAATTTTTTCATATTTTTCTGTGTTTCTTTAACAAAAACAATTTACCTGCATTTCTTTTTCTCTCACTGATCTTTGCAGGGAGAGCAATATTTCATCAAAGTCCGGCAAAATGACACAAGCAGCCGCTCTTGATTCGAGTATATTTTCTGGCAAGTTGCTTTTAAATTTGTCTGCTCTCTATTTGATTGCTATGATTGTAAGGTTCTTTTGTCGACATTGTCTTCACTACTGGTCACTTGCTGTGATGCAGTTTTGTGCTTCACAATGAAAGTCGCGGGTTTCTACATACAGCACCTTCAAACCCTAAACAAGCCAAACACAATGCTATGCCGTAAAGAGAAAATTTGTAGTTTATTGCCATGGCAAGTTTGCTTATGCAAAAAGTAATGAAATGATTCACAAGTAAAAATTAATTTGCTTGGGCTCTACTGGCTACAGTCTTGTTGCGTGGTATCGCAAATGTGATGAGAATTCTCACACTTGACCCTTTATAGAAGTCTTGTATTAAAAAGTCATTTCGTTAGGCAGTAGTGGCATGTATGCACTTTGTATCTGTACATAATTCATTTTTACTGATAAATAAATATAAGTATCCTAGAAGATGCTGTCTGAGTATTAGGAGTCCCAGCAAGTTGGCACAGAATGCTGAATAAGGCATTACCCTGTTTCTTTTGCTCATTTTGTCTCTTTCTAAGCGTATTCTCGTAGCAAGCGTGGTGTATTTGGTATCGCAAAAGAGTGGTTTACTGATACGAAACCATTTCACTCTCGAGCACCTCATGGTTTTGGAATGCTAAACCCCAACCATTCTCTTCAGTGCCCCTTAAAGGGAAGGGTTTGTAAATGTTCAAAAATTTTCAAGGGCACACTGGATAGGCACTGTACAACCTCTCTATTTTGAGTTTGTGAACAGTTTTTTCAGAAACTAAAGGAACATCCACATAACGCAGATATCATTTTGTAAACTGAGGCTTTTTTTTTTTTTTTGTAACCTCCCTGTTCTTCCTTCCTTCCTTCCTGGGCTTTGTGACTGAATCATATTAGCTTATGTCTGACTGTTACTGATTTGGTGAATTTCTTTACCACTTAGACATACCTTTTAACTTCTAATTTGCATTGTCCACTACGGTGGATCAGTGGCAAGGGTGTTCAGCGGCTGACCGGAAGGTCGCGGGTTCCGTTCTAGTCGCGGAAGTCTCGTTTTGACGGAGGCGAACAATACAGGCCTGTGTACTGTGTGATGTCAGTGCACGTTGAGAACACCTCGTGGTCAAAATTTCCGGAGCCCTCTACTACGGCATCCTTCGTAATCATATTGTATGTTTGGTACGTAAAACTGCACATATTATTATTATAACTTGATTGCATCTTATGAATAAAATGCATAACATGAAAACAATGGAGTCCATAATTCAATTCGATTATATTCACTTATGCAGAATAGAAGAAAAAATTATGGTAACCAAGTACTAATTGAAGACACGGTTTTGAGTTAATGGAGTTTTAAATAAAAAATTGACTGAAAAGCAAATGTATTTTGTGACAAATTCCATTCAAATATTTAATTTAGTTGCTATGAGTGTGGATATCATTTTCAAAGTGATTTTTTTTTTTAACTTTTGAGCCTGTCGTCTTGCTGGTCTTGGTTCTTTTGTGAGTTGTTGTGCCACTCTACTCCTAAAACATAATCGAGTGAGGTCATTTTCTTTCAATAGATTGGTTGTTTTGGCACAAGCGATACTGCCATCGTCAAACAAAAAAACAGCATCACCGGGCACAATTCGTAAGACTCTGAAGACCAAACAAATATAGCAGAGACTGCAATGCCATTCCGATAAGCTCAGCTCATCTAGCCAGCAGTTATGTCTAATGACGCCACCAGTAACATTTACGTCCATTAGAACATGCCCGTAGTCAACTTGCATGCAATTCTCTTCGAAGGATGTTGAAAATTTTTAGCCTCTCTTTATGTCGCTGGCATTTAGTACTTGCATTTACAGGAGAACTGCATTCGTTGTTGCAAAACTTACACATGGGGGAAGGCCTCTGCATCTCAACTCATTGAAAGGCGCAACAGGTGCAAAGCGTAATGATCATCATCATCGTCGTCCACCTGACTACGTCCACTGCAGGACAAAGGCCTCTCTTATGTTCCGCCAGTCAATTTGGTGCTGTGCTTGCTGCTGCCATTTTATACCCACAGACTCCTTAATCTCATCTGCCCATCTAACTTTCTGTCTCCCCCTAACCCCCACTTGCCTTCTTTGGGAATACAGTTAGTTACCCTTAATGACCAGCGGTTATCTTGTATACATGCTACATGCCCGGCCAATGTCCATTTCGTCTTCTTGATTTCAACTATGATATTCTTAACCCTGGTTTGTTCCCTAATCCACTCTGCTCTCTTCTTGTCTGTTAAGGTTACACCTACCATTTTCCTTTCCGTTGCTCGCTGTGTGGTCCTCAATTTAAGCTGAACCCTCTTTGTCAGTCTTCAGGTCTCTGCTCCGTAGCTAAGCACTGGCAAGATGCAGCTGTTATATACCTTCCTTTTGAGGGATAGTGGCAATCTACCTGTCAAGATTTGAGAGTGCTTGCCAAATGTGCTCTACCCCAATATTATTCTTCTAGTTACTTCAGTCCCGTGCTTTGGCTCCGCGGTTATTACCTGCCCTTAGTAGACATAGTCTTTTACAACTTTAGTGCACTATTACTTATCTCGAAGCACTGTTCTCTTCTGAGGTTGTTGTACATCACTATCGTTTCCTGCAGATTAATTTTAAGACCTAACTTTCTGCTCTCCTTGTCTAACTCCGTAATCATCAGTTGCAATTCGTCCCCTGTGTTACTCAGCAACGCAGTGTCATCGGCGAAGCGCAGATTATTAAGGTACTCTCCATTAACTCTTATCCCTAACTGTTCCCATTCTAGACTTCTGAAAACCTCCTGTAAGCACCCAGTAAACAGCACTGGGGAGATTGTGTCCCCCTGCCTTACACCCTTCTTGATTGGTATTCTGTTGCTTTCTTTATAAAGCACTATGATAGTAGTCGATTTTCTATAGATGCGTAATAATGCTAGGAGCTAATTGTTCAAACATAGTACATGCTATGTACAAATGGTAATAAAAACGCACAAAGCATGTCCAGATTGCCTTAGCTGAATAATCCAATAGTTATATCTAGTGTTACGACCGGGGTTTGCAGGGCACCGGAGGTCCGGGACGAAGTTGTCGAGGCAGGAGGAAGAGAGACTTAAAGAGGGTTTATTTACATTATATACACGGCGAGGTCTCGTACATGACGAGCTCTTTCTTACATAGCGAGCTCTCGAATCTGGGGTTCCTCTACATGGCGCTCCTTCGAATGAGCCGGGTGGCTCATTATAAAGGGTATGTTTTCCCCAGATCCCTAGATCACGGAACACATACAAATGGTACTGTCCAATCGCAGATCACACTCAACTGGCAAGGGGGACGTGCATGCACGGCCCACGTGAACGTTCAATATTGAGGCATGATTACTGTTTTCCAAGGTGGCACCAGCGGGGCTCTTCCTTGTCGTGTGGTGCCACTGGTCGAGGGGTCCCAAGCTCATGACAGCATACATCAAAGGGTCCGCCGAACTGCTCGCTTAATTAGCGGGGCCATTTGCGGCGGCCGCCGCGGTCTCTTTCAAGGAAGATGCTGTATTTGTTGTCCTCTCTTGGACGGCTTACGGCCTCGCGGCGTCGCGTATCACCCTCCGACTAGGAGGGACAATACCTGGCGGTCATAGGCAGCCGGTCGGTCGGCTACTTGTTTGAGGATCCAAAGAGCGCTGCTCCCTTGTCAGTTCTGGCGCCAGTCACAACACCAGCTGACACCAGACAATCATTTTTGCTTTCAGAGGGAATTTTTCTTTCACTTGTTCGCTTCATTTTAACACCTTAAAGACTCCGGTTAGGGGTTATTACATAATGGGTGGATTAACACATGTGGGTCACATAGAGGGATCTTCACTACGAACAATATGCAGTTATGTTGTCCGCAAAAGATGATGGACACATGATGTTTGCAATGTCACGGGGGAGGCCATTCCAGTCCGCTGCTGCACGAAGAAAAAAATGATGCTGACAAAGGCACTAGTGCGAGCACGTGTGCGTGCGACTGATAAAGAATGGGTCGTGCGATGAGATATGCGCAATGGTGGGATGATGTAAGGAGCTTGATTGAGGGAACTGTGCAAGAATTTGTGGAAGAGACAGAGACTGGTGATGCAGCGGTGCACGCGAATATTAGTAACATTAATTACACGTTTTAAGGATGATACACTTATATCATATGAGTATAAGAATAAATGAACCTAGTGGCACGATTTTGAACGGATTCTAGCCTGTTAATTAAGTATGGCTGGTGCGGGTTCCAGATGGGCGCTGTATATTCTAGTTTGGATCGAATAAGGGATTTGTACGCGAGAAGTTTTAAGTGTAGCGGTGCGTGATGCAGACGACGTTTTAGATAACCGAGGGATTTGTTCGCAGATGGTATGATATTGTTTATGTGAGCATTCCAGGAGAGCTCAGATGATAAAGTGACACCTAGGTATTTATACGATTCTTCATGCTCGACAGTGGAATTGGAGATTATGTATGAGGATGATAAAGGGTGATGCTGGCAATGAAATGAAACGAGTTTACATTTAGTGGGGTTAAGCTTCATGAGCCAAAGATTACACCACTCTTGCACCAGATTAAGGTCCTATTGAAGGGCAGTTTGATCAGAGGTGTTAGAAATAGTGTGATACATGACGCAGTCATCGGCAAAGAAACGAATATGAGATGACACATAGATGGGAAGGTCGTTAATATATATTAGAAACAAGAGGGGTGCGAGGACAGAGCCTTGGGGGACGCCAAATGTTACTGGGGGGGATGTAGAGCAGTTATTATTCATTGAGACTAACTGGGAGTGGTCTGCAATAAATTCTGTGATCCATGTGAGAATTTTGGGGTGCAGGTTCATCTGGGCGAGATTTAGTAATAGGTGTTTAGGAGTTACTTTATTGAAGGCTTTTGCGAAGTCGAGAAAGATTGCATCTGTCTGAAAGTGATGGTCATGGTTATAGTGCAGGTCATGAACGAATATAGCGAGTTGGGTTTCACAGGATAA